CTGCTGAGATAAAGTAAATGTAACAACAAAAAAGGCATAAAAGCTGTAACCCACAAGAATAAACTTGCTGCGTTTTGACTATAAGTTACACAGACCTCCAGACTCCGCTTTACTTTTTTCTTTCACTTCCGCGCACTCTCCCCCTCAGGTTGAACGAGACATCTACGTTGGCGGTCTTGGGGACTCCCGCAGGTCGGTAGCCCCCCAGCAGACGTGCCGGACCCCCGACACTGCAACCTGGGTTCATCTCTTTAGAATGGAGGTGAGAATACTCTCCATGTAGGCTTCAAATAAAGGAAGCTTTGCCGCTGACTAATCTCAACTCAAAAAGAGAGGCTCCAGGGACCAGTTAATTGTAGGAAATGGTGACTTTGCTTTTTTTTCCTTTCCTACCTTTCTTCCTGATTTTAATGGAAATGCTTTTCTTATTTCACTGTTGACCATATGAGTCTGGCCTTTCCTCCTCAACATCTTTTAACAATTTTGAAATGATTATAAATTCATATAAGTTGCAAAGATAATGCAGAGTCTCGTGTTCCCTTCACCCAACGGTTTGCTTATTACCTATGTAATACAGTATCAAATTTAGAGACAGGTTTCTCTATGTTGGCCAGGCTGGTCTGGAACTCCAGACCTCAGGTGATCTGCCTGCCTTGGCCTCCCAAAGTGCTGGGATTACAGGCATGAGCCACTGTGCCCAGCCTCAATTTCACTCGTTTTTCTGTGCACTCTTGTATGTGAGTCTATATAGCTCTATCCCATTTTATCACCTCAATAGGTAGGTTTATGCAGGCACCACCTGAATCAAGATAGAGAACTGTTTCCTCTCTCCCTGGGAAATCTCTTGCAGTATCTCTTCATAACTGACTTTGAAAGTAACTTGGCAAGATTGGTTGCTTTTTTAAACTTTCATTTCACTATAATATACAAAAAAAGGATACATATTTCAGGAAGTGAACAGCTCAGTGAATTCTCAGAAACAACGCACTCTATAACCAGCACCAGAACAATGAAATACTACCAGTCCCTGTTAGTGGCCCCTTCTGAAATGACTGTTTCTCAGTGAAGTCACCAAGGCTACAGGTCTTTCTTATTGGTTTTGAGGACTTAATGTTGGGAAACATCTCAATTTTCCTCTAAGATCAACAGGATAATACTTCACTTTGGGAACCTTTAAAGCAAGACTTTTATGCTAAGCCTTAGGCTGATTAAGTTGCCTGTGCATATTAGTTTGCATTGCTGTAACAAAATACCAGACTGGGTGGCTTAAGCAAAGATGTTTATTTTCTCAGAGTTCTGGATGCCAGAAGACCAAGATCAAGGTGTCAGCGGGTTTGCTTTCTCCTGACGCCCCTCATCTTGGCCTGTAGATGGCTGCCTTCTTGCCATGTCCTCTCACGATCTTTCCTCTGTGTCTGTGTGCCCCTGATGTCTCTCTGCAGGTCCTAATCTCTCCTAACAAGAAAACCAGTTGAAGCCAGGCGCAGTGGCTCAAGCCTGTAATCACAGCACTTTGGGAGGCTGAGGTGAGCGGATCACAAGATCAGGAGTTCAAGACCAGCCTGGCCAACATGATGAAATCCCATCTCTACTAAAAATACAAAAATTAGCTGCACATGGTGGCGTGTGCCTGTAGTCTCAGCTACTCAGGAGGCTGAGGCAGGAGAACTGTTTGAACCCAGGAGGTGGAGGTTGCAGTGAGCCAAGATGGTGCCACTGCACTCCAGCCTGGGTGACAGAGTAAGACTCTATCTAAAAAAAAAAAAGAAAAGAAAAGAAAGAAAACCAGTTGATTTGAATTAGGATTCACCTTAATGGCCTCATTTTACTCATTTTAACTTAATCACCTCTTCAAAGGTTCTGTCTCCAAACACATCTGAGGTACTGGGGGTTAGAGCTTCAACCTATGAATTTTGAAGTAACAGAATTAATTTAGTTGGCTGGGCAACACACCTGTAATCCCAGCACTTTGGGAGGCCGAGGTGGGTGGAGCATTTGAGGCCAGGAGTTCAAGACTAGCCTTGCCAACATGGTGAAACCCAGTCTCTACTAAAAATATAAAAAGTAGCCGAGTGTGGTGGCACACATCTGTAATCCCAGCTACTCAGGTGGCTGAGGCACAAGAATCACTTAAACTAGGAGGCGGAGGTTGCAGTAAGTGCGATTGTACCACTGTACTCCAGCCTGGGCGGCAGAGACACTCTCCCTCAATAAATAAAAATGTCTTTAGTTTCAGTAATGGAAGGTCATCATTGTTGAGATTATAAAGATTTGGCTCCTTCACTTAGCTTCGCATTTGCTCTCTCAGTAAACTAATGCAGAACTCAGGATTGAAGATGACACAGGAGCCACTTAATTAGTTTAACTACAATGCCCCATTCCCATTCTCAATACCACAACCAGCATTTTCCTCAGCAGAATTATGGGAACAAATGTGAACTTGAAAGAGCTAATCCTTTAAGATAAATCCACAGTGGTTAACTGGGCCTAAATTTAAAATAGACCTAAGTGGGACATCCCCCCCCCACACACACACACACACACTGTAGCTCACACCTGTAATCTCAACACTTTGGGAGGCAGAGGCAGGTGGATCACATGAGCAGAGGGGTTTGAGACCAGCCTGGACAGCTTTGTGAGACCCTCATCTCTACAAAAAAAGTAGCCCCCACCTGTAGTCCCCAGTAGTCAGGAAGCTGAGAGGTGAGAGGATCACTTCAGCCTGGGACGTCCATGTTGCAGTGAGCCATGATGGCATCACTGCACTCCAGCCTAGGTGACAGAGTGAGATCCTGTCTCAAACAATCAAAAACACCTAAGTGATTATTTGCTAACTAGATGTCACACACATGCTCTGAGTTCCCCAAAAACCCACACATTGGTTCAGGTGAGCTCTGGAGTCCCCAAATTGAACGAATCAATCAGAGCTTACCTGCCTTAACCAATCAGGGCTCAGCTGTATCAACCAACCAGAACGCAGCTACACTGACCAATCAGAACTAAGCAAGTTTCACTCCATTTACATATGGACCTGACTGGAAACCTGGGTGGAATTTTGCTGTAACTCCAGAACCCTTGCTTTGCGTTTTGAAACACATCTGTTTTACACAGAAGGCTGTATCTCTGTGGTTTGGAAGCTGTTCATGCAATAAAGTCTCTTTCCTTCATATTCTTTTTCAGAGAACTTCTGTTCACAGTTGCTAAAGGAGTGAGTTAAAATAGCCTGGAAAGGAAGGGCCTTGTTTGAGGGTAGCTCCACACGGTACTACTATACATGAAACTCTGAAAATACAAGCTGATCTCTAGTGATTGCCAAGGGAGAGGGGGATTACAAAGAGCCACGAGGAAACGTTTATGGGTAATTACACTTGTTCAGCTGTTTACTGTGGTCATGGTTTCACAGATATGCACATACATCAAAACTGTACTATGTGCAGTTTAAATTTTTTATTGCGTTTTCGGTTTTGGGTACATGTGAAGAACATGCAAGATAGCTGCATAGGTACACACGTGGCAGTGTGATTTGCTGCCTTCTTCCCCTTCACCTATATCTGGCATTTCCCCCCATGCTATCTCTCCCAACTCCCCACCCCATGCTGTCCCTCCCCCATTTCCCCCCAACAGACCCCAGTGTGTGATGCTCCCCTCCCTGTGTCCATGTGTTCTCATTGTTCAACACCCGCCTGTGAGTGAGAACATGCGGTGTTTGGTTTTCTGTTCTTGTGTCAGTTTGCTGAGGATGATGGTGGTGCACTTTAAGTGAATTATACCTCGATCTGCCTTTCCTGAGACAGGGTCTCATTCTGTCACCCAGGCTAGAGTACCGTGGCCTGATCTCTGCTCACCACCCCCAGGGCTCAAGCAATCCTCCCACCTCAGTCTCCTGAGTAGCTAGGACTACAGGCATGCATCACAATGCCCAGCTAAATTTTTTTGTGTGTTTTTGTAGAGACAGGGTTTGGCCATGTTGCTCAGGCTGGTCTTGAACTCCTGGACTCAAGTGATCCACCCACCTTGGCCTCCCAAAGTGCTGGGATTACAAGCATGAGCCACCATGGCCAGCCCTCAATATGCTATTTTTTAAAATGGCTTTATTACTGATAAGAGCTAGATTAGAGGATGCAGTATAAGTATACTCTCCCCAAAATCTAGTCACCCTACCACACTGCAGGCCTTCTAGTACTAGGGATAGACCTCCTGTTAACAGCAGAAAGCTGGCCAGGTGCAGTGGCTCACACCTATAATCCCAGCACTTAGGGAGACCAAGGCAGGTGGATCATGAGGTCAGGAGTTCAAGACCAGCCTGATCAAGTTGGTAAAACCCTCTCTCTACTAAAAATACAAAAAAACTTAGTTGGGTGTGTTGGCAGGCACCTGTGATCCCAGCTACTTGAAAGATTGAGGCAGAGAATTGCTTGAACCAGGGAGGCAGAGGTTGCAGTGAACCAAGATTGAGCCACTGGACTCCAGCCTGGGCAACAGAGCCAAACTCCATCTCAAAAAAAGAAAAAAAAAAAAATAGCAGAGAGCCACCCGCGCAGAGGAAGGCAAGCTGACTGCGCATTCTCAGTTCTTCCCAAATGCTTGTCTTCCAACAGGGAAGGAGCAGGGGATGTTAGTCCAGGCTTCCACAGTTGTTTTTTCTATAAACAGCCAGATGGTAAAGAGTTTAGGCTTTGCAGACAGTCCCTGTCAAAACTACTTTGTTGTAACATAACAGCAGCCATAGATAATACATAAATGAATGAATATGGATGTGTTCCAATAAAACTTTATCAACACAAATCTGTATTTCATATAGCTCACATGTTTCAAAATATTTTTTGATTTATTTTTAAGCATTTGAACACATAAGACCCACTTTTTGGCTCGTGGGGCGTGCGCATACAAGCTGCAGGCCACAGGGTGCTGATCCACACTCAAGGGAAATCCCTCAACAATTCAGCATGAAGAAAACAAATCTCCCGCTAAAAATAAGCGTTACAGAAAATACACACACCTTTACACTAGTGCGTATATTTAATAGTGTTATATTGGAAATGACACCTTGTCAACACATAGGGGAAAATAATACATTTTAAGAAATAAAACCAAGATTAAAACAGTCCATAATAGCTTTGTCACACACAAAAAATGGCAGTCACGCTCCTATCCCGTGCACAAAGGGTGGCATGCACATAGCTTATTAAGGGGTACATTTTCTCACCTCACTGCACGGTTCTCAGATAGTCCTTTAGTCATACACATGCTTAGCCTTGTCATGCCATGGTTTGAATCCTCCTTCATAGAATATAAACCAGCAACTAAAATGCTTGTCAGTCTGTGAGCCCTACAAATACCCACTCCCTTATCCTAGGGCCTGTTTTTCACTGTCCAAAGCTCTTCGGGTGCTTTATCTTCCAAAGACCCTCAATGATAAGTGACTACCAGTCCACGATGAAGAATGCTGGCTGGTCATTCCATCTCGTGCTCTGTTCTGCTGAGAAATGGGGTAACAAGACAGGACCCACTCTCTGATCACTACTGTGATGCTTGATTTCCCATAGATTCAAGATCCTTCCTGTGATGGAAGGATCAGAGGCCAGGCTCAGATGGCCAAGGACAGAGAAGGAGGAGGGCAGAAGTACACAGCAACGCTCCAGGGAGGGGTGGCCTGGTGTGATGCATGGGAGACTAGGCAGGCCATCTCTCCCTCCGTCCTGGGCTCTCTGCGCCTATTAAAAGGAACTCCTCTTAGTCCTGGGAACAGAACTTTCAAGTGGCCTGAAAGTTCCACCAGAATTTGCCCTCCATCCATCAAGGCAGGAGTTCTGTGTGTACTGGAAAGCAGAATTCACAGTTTAAAACATTTGCATTCAGTTCTTAGATCCCCTGCTTCTTGGCCCTGACCCCTGGCAAGCTACTTAGCCTCTCTGGGCCTTCAGAGGGCTGTCTGCAACATCAGAATAGTGTCTCCTCTCAAGGCTGGTCCTAAGGATCAACTGAGGATGTCAAATGCACGTTATGTAGGTGAAGCGGTAAGTGTCCACTCCCTTCTTCAGCATATGCCTGATGACTTCACATTTGGGCTGCTGTCCTCTATGCCAGAAATTCCCATTTGCATGCAAAAAAACCATACCCCTGGTCACTTGTTAGGGCAGATTCTAGGCTTATGAAGCTCAATACTGGTTTAAAAAAAAAAAAAGCATCACATTTTCCTTCTAACACTATAGACAGTATTGGATTGGCTAGTTATACAGAAGGTGTAGGCACAAGCAAAAGAATTATTTTAAAAATAAAACGACACACTTTTTGGTTCTACCTTTTCCCAGTAAATTACAGTAAGTAAAAGTAAGAAGGTCCCATGAGGATGAATACTCCTGAAGATGGCAAAAGTACCTACAAGCTGAGTTTTTTTAAGAGCCCATGGAGAAACACTTTCTCTGGCCCTCCTGCCCTGTCCTTTAAATACCTTGCTTATTAATCAGCAATGCAATCCCAGTTTTCCCACCTGTTACAAAAGCATGTGCAACAGGGTATTACTCAGGTGTGGTCACAACACTGGTTCCATCTCTCATTCTGATCTTCCCACAAAGAATGCCAAAGGCACACCCAAAGGCACCACCAAAGCCACCAGCCTCAGGGCCAAGGGTGGATGGGGAACTACCCCGAACCAGTCAACTCAGCAGACTGTAATTAACTCCAGTTAATTGCTCCGGAGTCCTGCTCTGTGGGTGGGAATGTTTTAATTTTCTTTCATGTTTGAAATAAGATTTATTCAGTAGAAAAACTTAAACATATATATTTCTGATATGGAGTTTCACTCTTGTGGCCCAGGCTGGAGTGAACTTAAATTTATTTATTTATTTATTTTTAAGACGGGGTTTCGCCATGTTGGTCAGGCTGGTCTTGAACTCCCGACCTCAGGTGATCCGCCCGCCGTGGCCTCCAAAGTGCTTGGATTACAGGCGTGAGCCACCACGCCCGGCCTTAAATGTACTTTTAAACATATGAAGTGAATACATCTATGTCCAATTCTTTTGGAAAGTACCTGTGGGGTGTCGGGGACCAGAGTATCGTAACCACGCCATCCAAGCTAAGACTGACCGTATTTCAGTTTTGGAATATATACACAATTGCTGAGTTGTTAACCCTATCTATGGCAGTCCAAATGCAAAGCCTACACAACATAATAAATACTTAATGAATTAATCACTTCTACTGCATTTAATGTCAACTTGGGCTCGGTTTACATTAGAGTATTACCCTACTAAACAACACCGAGAGGCTTCAGTGTCGTTTTTCTTAGAGGAAGAAAAGATAATGTTAAAATGCTACCTTCAACCTACACGGCATGAAGCTCTTCCTCCCCTTCCCTTGGCCTCAGTCCTGAGAATACAATTCTTCCTTAGCTCTTCAATTGCCAACAGCTGCTTTCTCGAGAGAGGCGGAAACTGCCATTGACACAGCACAGAATAAAAAACCAGGAGGGCTTTGCTGTGAGTGTTGTCAGCAGAAAGCTTGCTGCACGCCAGAGTCTCCGCACCTCCAAGAAGGCAACCCATGCCTCTTAGGGAAGCTCTTTTAACCGCCGCCTGACTACAGGTTTTACAAGAGAAACCCTGTTTAGAATGCTGTTCCTTAGAGGCAGTCACAGCTGCTAAGAGAAATCATCCCTCTGTAAATCCTTAATTGAGCTTCTCTAAGGTTCTATAGAGTTGTTCATCTTTAACATGAGCAATATGATATTGTGCCAGCTACAAAAACACAGAACTCTTTTAAGTATATACCTTAGAGTTTTACCCAGGCGTTATCTCCATTAACAAGCAGCCCAGTTAAAAGACCAACCTTTTGTGCCTCAAAAACCGGTCTTCGAATACGTGGAGATACACACCTCGCCCGCTGTAAAAGGATGTCAATGAACTATTCGAGAAGAGTGGGTTCTGTGCCGTCACTCACGTGACTGGTCCTGGATTCGAGGATTCCTGTGGGGTCCTTCCGCTTTACAACGGACTGCTCCATTATCTGTCCTTCGAGCAGGAACTGGAGGAAGCTCCGTTTCTGATGGAACCGGTCATGGAAGCCTTTGGATTCCTTCTCTCCATCTTTTCTCGGCTGAAGATTGTGTCCTGGTCACTGTCAAACTCAGACTCGGATACCATCAGGCTGGAGTTGTGCTCTGTGCTTCGGTGCTTGACACCTAGAGAGAAGCACAGAAGGGCCTGAGGAGGAACGCCACGACTCGCTTCAGCCGTCGGTGGTTCTGGGTGCGGGTCCCGTGGTGAGGCGGGGCGGTGCTCGGCGCACCTGGAGCGCAATCGGCCACGGCGGCAGGCAGGCTGGGTTTCCTAGCCAGTAACTGCAGGGGTTTGGTGCCTCACCCCAGACAGTCGCCAGCTGCTTAACCCTGGGCACGATACCTGAGCTCTCCGAGCTTTCAGCCTCTATGGGGAGGGTAACACAGCATCTACCCCGTGAGTTTACGGGGAGGATTGAGTGAAGCATTCAAGCTCTTGGCCCAGCCTTTAAAGTAATCCTAAGCATCCAACAAAGGAAAGCTTCTGTGATTTTACCGCTTGGTTAGAGCATTTTTGGCAGAATATTTGTTCTCAGGGCGTCAAACTAAGGGACAGAACAGGTATTAGATACAATTCCTACTCTCAAAGAATTTATAGTGTTTAGCTAGGGGTTTAAGACGCAGACTTGGCTGGGCATGGTGGCTCATGCCTGTAATCCCAGCCCTTTGGGAGGCTGAGGCAGGAGGATCATTTGAGGCCAGGAGTTCGAGGCTGCAGTGAACTATGATTGTGTTGCTGTACTCCAGCTTTGGTGACGGAGCAAGACCCTGTCTCAGGAAGAAAAACAAAAAGGACATAAAAGGCACAGACTAATGAGAAGATGGCTCATGACAGGTAAGATCGTTTTTAAATCTTCTATAAATCCAGAGGCGATAAGCGCATACACTTATGACAGGGGTTGCTGCAGTGACGATTCCCACAGGGGGACGCTGCAGAGCCTTCTTATTCAGCTAAAACCGGGCTCCTGTCACACTACCAGGAAAGATGAGGCTCTTGGACACATAGAAAGCTGAGAAAAATGGAATTTATTGGGCAAAAAGCAAAGAAAGAAAAACTCTCAGCAAATAGAGACGGAGTCTTGCCAACACCCTCTCTCCTCACAGATTGAAGTCCAGACAGGAATTGGAGAGGCAGGCCTCACCCCACTGCAAATCACGGGAAGTTCCTGTGGCTCCCGCCCCTTCCCGCAGTGCACAGGTGGACATTATTGACAGACTCAGCTGGGGGAGGGCGGGGCCTTTTCTGCCTTCAGGCTGTTTTAGGCTTGAAGGTGGTGTTTCGCTGTCTCCTGTCTCTATCAGTGAGATTTGAAGAAGGAAGAAAAGCTAGGAAGGCAGGGGAAGGGCATGGAGTGTACAGAGGCATCCAGGAATAGTTAGAAAAAAAGTAATTTGTTTGGAGCCAATGATTCCTGTAGGAAATGACGAAGGGGAGGCTGGAGAGAGGCAGGGACCTCGCAGAAAAGCACATGAATACCAAGTTTGGATTTTATCCTATAGGCAGAGGAATGACGCTATTAAAATGTTGTTCTAAGATACGAATAAAACCACAGTGTGCAGGCTGGAAGGAGAACAGACAGGAAACAGAGAGGCTGCCGGGGTCTGAATGTTCGCACCCCCACAAATTCGGGTGCTGAAATCTAATCCCTAAATGGTGGCACTAAGAGGTGAGGCCTTTGGGCGGTGATCGAAGGGGATTATTACTCACATGAAAGAGGCACCAGAGGCCGGGCATGGTGGCTCACACCTGTAATCCCAGCACTTTGGGAGGCCAAGGAGGGTGGATCACCTGAGGTCAGGAGTTCGAGACCAGCCTGGCCAACACGGCAAAACCCTGTCTCTATTTAAAAAAAATATATATATATATATATATATACGTACATATATATATACGTATATATATATATATATATATAATAGCTGGGCATCGTGGCAGGCGCCTGTAATCCCAACTACTTGAGAAGCTGAGGCATGAGAATCGCTTGAACTTAGGAGGTAGAGGTTGCAGTGAGCTGAGATCGTGCCACTGCACTGCAGCCTGGAGGATAGAGACTGTCTCCAAAACAAAAAGAGGCACCAGAGGCTGCCTTGCCCTTTGCACCATATAAGGATGCAGGGAGAAGGCGCCATCTCTGAGGAAGTGGCCCTGGCCAGATGCTCAGATCGCCTTCCCAGCCTCCAGAACTCTGGGTAAGAAATATCTGTTGTTCATAAGCCTCCCCGTCCGTGGCGTTTTGTTAGAGCAGCCCCCGTGGGCCAAGGCGGAGCCAGTGCAGTGTAGAGGAAGAGCCCGGCCTCCAGCCCGCCTTCACCACTCAGCAGCTGTGTTACTTGGGCAAGTTGCTAAACTTTCCTTTGCCTCAGTTTCCCCTTGTGTAAAATGGGGATAATCACTGCACATACCTCATAGCGCTGTGGGTAGGATTAGAATTCCATGAGTAAAGTGCTTCAGAAGTACCTAGTGCATATTCAACATTAAATATCTGTTGTTATATTACTATTAGTTCACAGGTGAAACTGTAAGGACCTGAACTAGAGTGGTGACGGTAATGATGGGGAAAGAGGGCAAGAGACTAGCAAGGTGGGGGGGTCTGGAGTGGGGGCAGCGTGTGTGGAGCACCAGTGACTGAGGTTTCAAACTGGGTCAGTGAGGAGGGGGGTTCTGTGAATAGACAGGGAAATGTAAGAAGGATGAGTGTATTTAAGATAAAGGTGGGTGTGACAATGCGGCCTAAAGCACGTTGAGCTCTTAGGTATAAAGTCAGTTGATAATACTTCGATGCTACACAATGCAAATGGCCAGCACTCCACGTCTGCAGCCATGTCTACTTCCTGCGACACTCTCCTGCCAGAGCCCTGTTCGCTACACTGTGTGCACACAATCGTTCCTTCTGACCCGAGTGCTCCTACGCCGCATCGTCCATGCGCTGGCAGAACTCCTTGCACCCCAGTACAATTATCCTCCCTCAGCCTGTAGAGGCAGGCTCTGTGCTTCCTCCTCTCCCAGTCTCCAGGGCCTGCCCCGGTGTCTGTGCACACAGTAGGCATTCAACACTCACTGTGAACAAGGTTTTGCATCTCACAGCTCTGAAAATGATATCTTCATCACTTAGTCATGAACCCAGAAATACGGAAAATCTACAGAATTGGTGTTCAGCAGCCTCAGAGGGCCAAAGAAGTTTCACTAAGTATGCAACAGTTAAAAAAATTTTAAAAAGGCCAGGCACTGTGGCTCACGCCTGTAATCCCAGCATGTTGGGAGGCTGAGGTGGGCGGATCACAAGGTCAGGAGTTCAAGACCAGCCTGACCAACATGGTGAAACCCCGTTTCTTAAACAGAAAGAAAAAAGTATGCAGCAGTTAACAAACAAGACTGAAAAAGTTAACCGAGGCGGGCAAGAGGCGCTCATTGTGAAGAAAGCCCATTTTCTGTGGAGCCTTTGTGTCCATCCATATCAGTGGCTAAGTAGATAACGCAGCTGCTGAAAAATGTGAGGCTTCAAAGTGCAAGTGTCTTCTTGCTGCATTTCTGGCCTAGCAGACCTAAAGGGAACAGCATTCAGGGGCGGACGGTGGGAGCGTCTTCCACTGTCCCCCATCCTCCCACCAGGAGTAGAAAAGCACCCAGGTGCTGGGGACACCTCTGTGTAAAGAGCAGTCTTTGCCCTGTGATCACTGGTTGGCGCTCAACTGATGACACTTCACATCCCTTATCCATTCATGCCTTGAAGTATCATGCCAAAATTTATTTATTCGCTTATTTGAGACGGAGTTTGGCTGTTGTTACCCAGGCTGGAGTGCAATGGCGCTATCTCGGCTCACCGCACCCTCCGCCTTCTGGGTTCAAGCAATTCTCCTGCCTCAGCCTCCCAAGTAGCTGGGACTACAGGTGCGCACCAGCTAATTTTTGTATTTTTAGTAGAGACGGGTTTCACCATGCTGACCAGGATGGTCTCGATCTTTTGACCTCATGATCCACCCACCTCGGCCTCCCAAAGTGCTGGGATTATAGGTGTGAGCCACTGCGCCCGGCCCATGCCAAAATTAATTAAATTTATAATGAAACTACTGCCTCCCACCCCCACCCTATGTTAGCATATTCTCAGGAGAGATGAAAGTTGTTTTCCTTTTTCTTTTTTTTTTTGAGACACAGTAGCCCAAGCTTCAGTGCAGTGGTGCCATGTTGCCTAAGTGCAACCTCCACCTCCTAAGCTCAAGAATCCTTCTGCCTTTGCCCCCCGAGTAGCTGGGATTACAGGTGTGTGCCACCTGTAATCCCAGGCTGATTTTTTTTTTTTTTTTTGTATTTTTTAGTAGACACAGGGTTTCACCATGTTGCCCAGGGTGGTCTTGAACTACTGAGCTCCAGTGATCCACCTGCCTTGGCCTCTCAAAGTGCTTGGATTACAGGCATGAGCCACCGTGCCTGGCCTGAAGGTTGTTTTTCATCACAAAATTCCAGCCTCACTGTTCCCTCGAAATCAAAGTGCTGACTCCAGCTGACTGGTCTCCCTCCATCCTGGTTAGCTCACAGGCACACCTAGGTTAAATCGTGTGAAGGTGCCCGGCAATGAGTCTAGAGACTGCCTTACCATATTTGGGCCTCAGTTCCATCCTTTCCTGTTCATCCATGTTATCCAGGATGGTGTACTTTGTTTTCTTCCTGATTTTCGTCCTTTTTTGTCTGAAAGCAACAATGAAAAGCTCAACTCAGATCTTTAGAAAGGTAACTGAGATCCAGGATTTAAAACACAGGAAAGACACTGAAGGAAACATTTGCCTTTATTATGAGGTAGTTTGGGTCTTTTATTAAGGAAGCATACACAGGCCAGGTTGAAGCTCAGAGGGACATTATGCATCTTGGAGAAACAGATATCGGGGTATAAACAGCCACATCACTCTTGCCCACTTATCTACAGGTCTCAGCTAAGCCTCAGGCTGCGGGGCCAAGATCTTTAGTGCAATTCTCAACACCTGAGTGTTGGCCCAAGGAGCTCCTCTTCATGACTAATTCCTTACTCAGAAAAGCCTGGATGAGCAAATGTTCCCCTGAACCTTTACCACCCTGCAATGTCCAGTGGCTCAGTAATGAAAAGATGTCATGAACTGGCCATCAGAAAAAAAAAAAAAAAAAAGCAAAAATTGGCCGGGCGTGGTGGCTCCTGCCTGTAATCCCAGCACTTTGGGAGGCCGAGGCTGGTGGATAACCTGAGGTCAGGAGTTCGAGACCAGCCTGACCAACGTGATAAAACCCTGTCTCTACTAAAAACAGAAAAATTAGCTGGGCACGGTGGTGGGCACCTGTAATCCCAATTACTCAGGAGGCTGACACAGGGGAATCGCTTGAACCCCAGGAGGCGAAGGTTACAGTAAGCCGAGATCATGCCACTGCACTCCAGCCTGGGCAACAGAGCAAGACTCCATCTCAAAACAAACAAACAAAAACAAAAGAAAAAAACAAAAATTATAATAAATTCCCACAATTAGTTAGCGACAACTGTTCCCTATCTTTTTCATCTTTTTCCCCCTCCACATATGAAGGCTAGGCTGCTCCCATATCCCTCATACACATCGAAACCATGCTAAGGCATGTAGAGAACAAGACAGTAATTCTGCAGCCTAAAAGCCGTTTTCTGAGAGCGTGATGATCAGGAGCACAGGCCTTAATTTAGCACCTTGCTAGCTGGTGACTTTGAGGAAATTATTTGAGACTTTTGTGCCTCCATGTCCTCACCTGTAAAATGGGAGTAAGAATAGTTCCTTTCTCACATGGTTGAGGGAGGACTAAATAAGATAATACATACAAAGCACTTAGCCATTAATCACAATGGCAGATACTTAATAAATGCTCACAGTTATCCCTACCACCATCATCTTTACTAGATAGATAAGTCACAAAGCTGCGGATGCTTAATGCCACGCACGGTAGGGTCACACCATCCCAAATGTCTCTGGGAAAACGTAATGGAATTTAGGCCTCTATGTGCCTGTGCCTTGCTGCCTTTCACCAGCCTCACTTTTGGGAACATAATCACAAATAAAAGTAAAATAATCTGTAAGTGATTCCTGAAAAACAACTATAAAAATATATATATATATATTTAAGACCGAGTTTCACTTTGTTGCCAAGCTGGAGTTGAGTGGCGCAATCTCAGCTCACCGCAACTTTCGCCTCCAGGTCCAACCAATGCTCCTGCCTCAGGCTCCCAAGTAGCTGGGATTACAGGAGTGCGCCACCACGCCCAGATAATTTTGTATGTTTAGTAGAGATGGGGTTTCACTATGTTGGCCAGGCTGGTCTCGAACTCCTCTAATGATCCACCCTCCTCAGCGTCCCAACGTGCTGGGGTTACAGGCGTGAGTCACCATGCATGGCCTAAAATATACTTTTAAAAAAATCACATCTTTGGAGAGCATTTGTAGTGTTTCACGTGAAAGAGCAGACCTGATGCTCTCTTCCAAGGACTTGAGCGATCACTTTCCCTCCAAGTCTCCTCACTGAGGGCTGATCATGGAGTTCTGGAAGATTTGGCCAATGAGGCAGCTCGAGGCTTCTCAGAGGTCAGCTCCATGGAAAAAGGAAACAATGAAGCAAAAGTGCTCTTTGGCGGTGCTATTGCCTCAGTTACAGTTTCAGATTTGTTAAAAATGATTCCAGTGGATTATTGTTTCACATAATGAAAATAATCACAATCTGCCATTTGTAACAGTATACTTCTAGATCTCCTTCCTGTTGAGACCTGGAAGGCCACTTACATAGTTCTGATATAGATATATAATAGATGTACGTTTTTATCACGGTTCCTGGCTAGTAATTCCCACGGCCCTTATTATAATGCCGGGGCACTTTGGGCCTCAGAAAACAGAATCTCCCTCTCTCTCTGACCTTCTCCTGCCCTCCTTTCACCTGCTCTTTATTCTCCCCAAGGCAAGAATCTTCTCCTGCCTTTCTGTCTCCAATCTGGCTATAAAGAAATTCTCTGACCTACTTTGTCTGATTATAGGTCATAAAACCCTCATTTCAGAAGGAGTTCCGCCTCCTACCCAGGAGGATGGAGTGCTTTACAGAGGGGCCGAGAAGAATCTGGACAGGCCTTGCTGGGCTTGCCCACTCAGCCTGTTAGTATCAGATCCTACCCTTTATGTCCAATTACTTTTATACAGTTAGAAATCATGCCTGTAAATATCCAATGATGTCTTCATAGAAGGCCTAAGATGACGGGGTTCAGAGAGCTTCCGGACAGCCAAATATGGGGTTCCCGGAGGATGGCATGCCCAGAGAGGGCATGGAAGCTCTGGGCCCCTTCCCCATACCTCACCCTGTGCACCTCTTCATCAGTATCCCTGGTAAAATCCTTCGTAATAACCACTGTGTTTCCCTGAGGTCTTCGAGCCACCATAGCAAATTAACTGAACCCAAGAAGAGAACTGAGGGACCCAAGTTATAGTCAGAAGCCCAAGTAAAACAACCCGGGTATATAACTGGCATCCAAATGGGGTGGGGGGCGGTCTTGGGGACGGAGCCCTTAACCTGTGGGATCTGACGTTATCTCCAGATAGACAGCGTCAAAAGCGAATTGGAGGACACCCAGTGGTCGTTCACTGCACACCTGTTGCTTGCCTGGTGTGTAGGAGAAACTCCCAAACACTGGTCACAGCGGTCCTCTGTTGATTGTTGCTGAGTGAGAATACAGTACCTGTTTAGTGACTCTAATGTGAGACCGGCGGAGAATAACATTAGATTTGATACAGAACCATGGAACCTCCTAGAAATCACAAGAGCTGCAATGAGAAGAAGCCGCCTCTAATATTCCGCTTATCTGGGCACTTATACCTGGTGGCAGAAAGTGCATTATAAGGTGTGCTTAAAGTCGAGTTTGTCTTCACAGAGAATGTGGTCATTAAACAGCTTAGCAGTTTAACAAGCCCAAGTAAACAGTCCCTAAGCTGCCATAGCGCACAGTGTGGGGGCTCCGTTTCCCGCGAGTAAGCGCTCTAGGTACCTCTTGCAGTAGCAGATGCAAAGCCAAGCGAAGCCTCCCGTTAGCACGGTGAGAGTAAAAGCCAGCACGGTCACAGAGAATATGCTCCACTCTGAAACACAAGAAAACCAGACAGGACACAGTTAGAGGCTCTCTGCGGAACAACTTTATTCTGATGATTCACAATAAATATTTCCGAATCCCTGCGAGTAAGGGCCGCCTGTGGCCTACCATCTGCAACAGTATGGAGTTGGTAAGGCCTCACCAGGCTGGTGGCAGACCACGGCAAGGGAAGACACAGAAAAATCAAGAACAACCTAAAATTGCCCTACTTTTATGTGTTGGGTTTCAGGGCCTCACGGATCACATATTTCATGCTAACCTGGGAACAGAATAATGTGAAATAACTAAAAGTAGTCAGTTACATAGTAATGCCTTTTATATAAACACATACACATGCCACATCAAAATATTCGTTCCAGAATGCCAAAAATCACAACCCCCACCCCTAAAAGTTCTGGCTTGGTTTTAATAAAGCGTCTCTATGGCTGTTTATGGCCTGAAGACATTTTTCACAGCCAGAGAACAATTCCGAAACTACTTGACCCTCGTTCTTTCCTCATCCTTGCAGAAATCTAATGTGAAAACCTCTGCAACAGTAATTCAGTGGCAGAGAAGCCCAGTTTAACTATTAGGGAGCAAAGTTTAATAGGCTGGGAATGATGGCTCACGCCTGTAATTCTAGCACTTTGGGAGGCTGAGACGGGCAGATCACTTGAGGTCAGAAATTTGAGACCAGTCTGGCCAACATGGCCAAACCCCACCTCTATTAAAAATACAAAAATTAGCCAGACATGGTGGCGCACACCTGTAACCCCAGCTACTCGGGAGCCTGAGGCAGGAGAATCGCTTGAACCCAGGAGGTGGAGGTTGCAGTGAGCTGGGACTGTGCTACTGCACTCCAGCCTGAGCAACAGGGCAAGACTCTGTCTCAAAAAAAGAAAAAAAAAGTCTAATTTTATTAAATGTTATATAATCTCATTGGAATAATGATCCAAGAGCCGGCTATTTTCTGCTTTTTATATAGTATTCAATGGAAATAGAATTTGGCAGTCAGCTCTTCCTATCTTTGCTGCAAATTATGTCCATCTGGTTCCCCTAACAACCAATTTGCTTAGTACACTGCCATTAAATGACAATTTTCTCCCCAGAAGGGATCTCAGAGGCACCAGCCTGGCCGGCTGTGGCTCCAATTTTTGTTGCCTGCCTGTGTGAACAGCTGGAAGAGTGGGCCAAATTCTCTTCTTTACCTGATTCAAGCAGATCCACACCAGGGGCCACTTCACCAGCAAATCACACTGAGCCTCAGCCAAGGCAGGCGTAACCTGCAAATGCAGCCCATGGCTCAGGCAATTCTTTCTTAGAAATGCCACAGTAGTGAGCCGGTTCTGCTCCGCCAAAGGGAATTTTCTCATTAGGAGGTTTTATGTAAAAGCCTAAAGACACCCCAAAAAGTAGATTGTAACAAGGGTCTTAACTCGCTACCAAGTAAGCTGGTTCACTTGGCTTCAGGTGAGCAAACACTGAATGTTTTATAGCTGCAAAGCTAGGCAGATAGTTCTTTTTCTCTTCTCTTCTCTTTTCTCTTTCTTTCCCTCCCTCCTTCCTTCCTTCCTTTCTTTCTTCGTTTTTTTTTTTTTTTTTTTTTAAGTCAAGGTCTCACTCTGTCCACTCACTGCAGCCTTGACTTCCTGGGCTCAGGCAATTTTCCCACCTCAGCCTCCTGAATAGCTGGGACTACAGGTGCATGCAACCACACCCAGTTAATTTTTTAAGACATGGTCTTACTATGTTGTCCAAGCTGGTTTAGATGCCCTGGGCTCCAGTAATCCACCCGTCTCAGCCTCTTGAGTAGCAGAGGCTGTGAGCATGCCCCAGCATGCCTGGCTTATTTTTTTCAGTTTTTTGTAAAGATGACGTCTGACTATATTGCCCAGGTTGGTTTCGAATATTAGGCAGATTTGCCTGAGAATGAGCTGACTTAAAGCTCCTCACCCAAAGCCACCTCTGAAGCAGAACTCACCACAGTTGCTCTCTCCGTCCCGGATATAACGCTGTATAAGGTTCTCCATCCACAACTGAGAGCAAATGCAGCGCTTTGTGAGGGGGTCACAGTGGCCATGGCCAGAACACTTCAGAAGGCAACCTGCGGAGTGATGTGCAGGGCGGAGGTCAGCACGCAGGAAAGGGGATCCCTGCACTCAGCGTCTTTTGTGTTTTCAGTAGCATAAACCCCAAATAAGTACATCTTGCTGAATTAAGAGCCTCTCACAGTATGGACAGGGCTTCTAAACATAGCCTCTCATCGTTGACAATCTCATCAGAAAGCAGATGGCAGAAAAAGCCAATGCACACCACGTAGCAAAAGCCTTAAAAATCTTTACTGGTGGGGCACGGTGGCTCACACCTGTAATCCCAGCACTTTGGGAGGCCGAGGCAAGTGGATCACTTGAGGCCAGGAATTTGAGACCAGCCTGGCCAACACGGTGAAACTCCATCTACTAAAAATACAAAAAATTAGCTGGGTGTGATGATGTGTGCCTGTAATGCCAGCTACTTGGGAGGCTGAGAGTTTAAGAATCACTTAACCCAGGAGGCAGGGGTTTCAGTGAGCCGGGATCACACCACCACACTCCAGCCTGGTGCTCAAAAAAGTAGCAAAAACATAACAAGAAAATACGGCTGGCCTAAGAACAGAATTCTGATTATTTATCTGGAGCCTGGTAGCAATCATTGAGGACATGCCCAAAGACTTATCTACATTGTAGCATTATTTTAAAATGAACCTTAAAATCCATGAACAAGGAACTGGCTGTACAATTATGGAATATATCCAGGGTAGTAGAATACTATGTGTCCATAAAAATCTTTGAGGACATAATAATCATAATATATATTTTTTTAAGAGGCAAGGTCTTGTTGCTCTGTTGCCGAGGCTGGTCTCAAACTCTTAGCCTCAAGACCTCCTCCCTCCTCAGCCTCTGGCGTAGCTGTGATTATAGGCATGTGCTATTGTGCCTGGCTCATAATACAATTTGAACTTAAAAATCAGATTAAACGCCTGTAATCCCAGCACTTTGGGAGGCCGAGGTGGGTGGATCACGAGGTCAAGAGATCGAGACCATCCTGGTCAACATGGTGAAACCCCGTCTCTACTAAAAATACGGAAAATCAGCTGGGCATGGTGGCGCGTGCCTGTAATCCCAGCTACTGAGGAGGCTGAGGCAGGAGAATTGCCTGAACCCAGGAGGCGGAGGTTGCGGTGAGCCAAGATCACACCATTGCACTCCAGCCTGGGTAACAAGCATGAAACTCCATCTCAAAAAAAAAAAAAAATCAGATTAAAAATATATATCAAGTCATCCTGATGGTAGTATTTCTAGAGATTAGGGAACTGGGAAAACATATATCAGAGTATTAACAAAATTATCTTTGGATGGTGAGAATTTTGGACTTCGAATTTGGAAAATTATTTTGTTTTTTGTGCCTTTCTGGATTTATTGAGCAATAAATAAATACTATTTTTGTAGCTAGAATAAAAAGGAGTTATTGGCAGGGCTTGGTGGTCTATACCTATAATCCCAGCACTTTGGGAGGCCGAGGCAGGCGGATCACTTGAGGCCAGGAGTTCAAGACCAGCCTGGCCAACATAGCGAGAACTCATCTGTACTAAAAATACCAAAAAAAAAAAAAAAGAAAAAAAAAAGAAAGAATGAACAAAAGAACAAACAGACATTAAAAATTACTCACTGGGTACGATGGCTCATGCCTGTAATCCCAGGAGTTTGGGAGGCCAAGGCAGGTGGATCACGAGGTCAGGAGTTCAAGACCAGCCCGGCTAAGATGGTGAGACCCTGTCTCTACTAAAAATACAAAAATTAGCCAGGTATGGTGGCGGGTGCCTGTAATCACAGCAACTTAGGAGGCTGAGGCAGAGAATTGCTTGAACCCGGGAGGCAGAGGTTTCAGTGAGCCAAAATTGCTCCACTGCACTCCAGCCTGGGTGACAGAGCAAAATTCCATCTCAAAAAAATAAAAATTTAGTCCATATTATAATTGAGAAAGTCAATTGTATGCAGACACACACACACACACACACACACACACACACACAAAACAAATTACATTTTCCTGCCCAAACATCATGATGTCGTCGTAACTCTCACTTCCCTGGTGACCACTTCAACATAACAAGTGATTTGTGTTACTCATGAAATGAAGACAGAAACAGTGGGACTGTGAATCATTCTGGTGCCCTGGAAGGCGTGGCGAACAAGGAGCTGAGAAAAGAGGTTCCCCCGGAGAAGGCATTTGTGTGCTGCCTTAAATTTCCCGGGGAGCTGTATGGCATTGTCTTCACAACCTGGGGCAGGATGTCCAGAGGACGGAAATTACATCCACGTGGCTTTTCCAGCCAGTAACACTGATTTGCCTTTACCATGGTTCTTTCTGCCAACGGCCATTATCTTGTGAGTATAACCTTAATTTCTGGCCCATAATTATTATTGCTCTCCACTTTTCTTCCAAGACCAAGAGTAGCTGGCAAATGTGTGTTGCAGGAAACCTATTGGAGAAAGAAATGGAGAACAAGTCCCTGGACGCCAAAGGGAAAATGTTCACATGTCACTCCCTTCTGTGTTTCTAAAACTTAGCCATGATTAGCAAGTCTGATTATTCTGGAATATTCCATAGGAACATACCTGCTGTATCAATCCTCAGGACCTTGAAAAGCAAGAAGTCAGCCTTCTCCTTTGAGAGCCGCATGTGCAGACTTCGGGCCACTTCAGCAGCTTTGAGAACCTTGAAAGGTGGCCCGCTCTGTACGTAAAACACAATCACGGTGCTGCGGAGGAGACAATGAGAGAGGCGGTCATTCGGTGACTGACATGGCCTGCCCACCGTAGCATCTGACCTGTGAAGCCGGGGAGGTAGAGGGCCACAGCTCTGTGGCTTGCCAAGGACAGGGGCGTATCTGTGAGCCAAGGAATTGACCTGTTTCTATTGACAAAGCCTCTTCAGTCTCAGCGTACAGCTGATCAAAGACAGATCTTCAGATAAAAGGAGCAATGTGTCAATTATGTGTCAGTTTTTGAAAATCCTAAGCGGAGGGGTCTGGGGAGCTACCAGGTTAGTGAACAAGAGTGCATCTTTGCGCTGGGATGTATGAAGTGTTACACCCCAAACTCCATGGGGACGGAAGCTCCCGTGCGCAGGCCCCCTCTAGACCTTGCCCTATGTACCTTTTCATCTGGCTGTTCATTTGTATCCTTTAATACATCCTCTGTAATAAATCCATAATAGTAAGTTTTTAAAAAGGAAGCCATGTCTACATGTGTGCAAAAAGACAAATATACACAAAATGGAAACTCACAGACATGTCTTTCTTTTTACCCTTTTTGAGACATAGTTCACATATCATAAAATTCATCCTTCTAAAATGTAAATTTCATGGCGTTTAGTATATTCACAAAGCTGCACAACTATCACCACCATCTAATTTCAAAGCATCTTCATCACCCCAGAAACACAATCCACACTCATTAGCACCCCCTCCCCACTGTCCCTGGCAACCACGAATCTGGTTTTGGTTTCTATGGATTTGCCTCTTCTGGACACTTCAGGTAGAGGGAATCGTAGAATACATGGCCATCTGTGTCTGGCTTCTTTCACTTAGCGTCGTGTTTTCAAAGTTCATCCATGTTGTAGCACTTATCTGTACTTTATTCCTTTTTATTGCCAAAGGATATTCCGTTGTATGAATGCATCACATTTTTTATCCATTCATCAGTCGGTGGACATTTGAGTTCCTTCCACATTCTGGCTATTATGAGTTCATGCTATGAACATTCATATACCAGTTTCTGTGTAGACATAAGTTTTTCATTTTTATTGAATATACACCTAGGAGTGGAATTAATGGGCTGTATGGTAACTGTATATTGAGCATATATCAGCATACTGAGGAACTGTCAAACTGTATTCCATAGTGGTTGGTTGTACCATTTTACATTCCCACCAGCAATGTACAAGTGTTCCAGTTTCTCCACAGGCTCGTCAGCACTTGCTATGGCCTGTCTTTTGGATTCTAGTCATCCTAGTGGGTGTGAAGTGATAACTCACTGTGGTTTTGGCTGGCATTTCCCTGGTGGCTAATGGTGAGCATGTTTTCACGTGCTTATCCGCCATCTGTGTATCTTCTTCGGAGAAACAGCTACTCTAATCTGTAATCATCTCCTAGGGTTGCTGTAAAACATGTCCCACAAAGTGGGTTAAACACCAGAAACCTCTTCTCACAGTTTTGGAGCAATCGAAGTGCCCCGTTAGTTTTGGTGCTGCCGGCCATCCTTGGTATTCTTTAGCTGTGGAGGAAACCACTCCAGTCCCTGCCTCTGTCATTAAGTGGTGCTCGGTCTGTCTGTGTGCCTCTCTTTGTGTCTCTTGTTCTCTTCTTATAAGAATGGCTGTCATGGCCGGGCGTGGTGGCTCACATCTGTAATCCCAACACTTCAGGAGGCCGAGGCGGGAGGATCACGAGGTCAGGAGATTGAGACCATCCTGGCCAAAATGGAGAAACCCCATCTCTACTAAAAATATAAAAATTAGCTGGGCGTGGTGGCAGGTGCCTGTAATCCCAGCTACTCAAGAGGCTGAGGCAGGAAAATCGCTTTAACCCAGGAGGCAGAGGTTGCAGTGAGCCGAGATCGCGCCACTGCACCCCAGCCTGGCGACAGAGTGACACTCCATCTCAAAAAAAAAGAGAACAGCAGTCGTATTGGTTTAAGAGCCCAGCCTACTACAGTATAACTTCCTAACGAATTATATCTGCAATGACCTTATTTCTAAGTAAGGTCACATTCATAGGTACCAGAGGTGAGGGCTGGACTAGATTTCCAGGGGGATATAATTCAACCCACAAGTGTTTTATCATGAAAGGGTGTTGGATTTTGTCAAATGCTTTTTCTGTGCCTATTGAGATGATCCTGTGGTTTTGTCCCTTATCGTATTAATGTGGTTCACTGCATTGTTGATTTTTATACATTGAACCACACTTGCATTCCTGGGATAAATCCCACTCGGTTATGGTCTGTAAACCGTATAAGAAGCCGCTGGATTCGGTGTGATGGCTTTTTGTTGTAGATTTTTGCTTTGCTATTCACAAGGAGTATTGGTCTGTAGTTCTCATTTCTCGTGATGTCTTTGATTTTAATGTCAAGGGAAAACTGGTCTCATTAAATGAGTTGGGAGATGTTCCCGCCTCTTCCATTTTTTGGAAGTTTGTGAAGGACTGTTAATTTTTTAAAGGTTTTGCAGATTCCACCAGTGAAGCCATCTGGTCTTGAGCTTTGCGGATAGTTTTAACATTACTAATGTAATCTCTTTATTTCTTATAGCTCAATTTAGATTTTTAAGTTCTTCTCAAGTGAGTTTTTGTCGTTTATGCCTGTTCAGGAATTTGCCCATTTCATCTAGGTTATCTGATTTGTTGATACACAATGATCCATAGTATTCCCTTATAATCCTCTCCCACCCATCTTTTTTTTGGAGACAGGGTCTCATTCTGTTGCCCAGGCTGGAATGCAGTGGTGTGAACATGGCTCACAGCAGCCTCAACCTCCCAGCTGATCCTCTCACCTCAGCCTCTTGGGTAGCTGGGACCACAGGCATGTGCCACCATGCCTGGCTAATTTTTTTTTTTTTTTTTGAGATGGAGTCTCGCTCTGTTGCCCAGGCTGGGGTGCAGTGGGTGCCCAGGCTGTGGGAGCTCACAACTGTCTCCCTCTGCCGTTCCCCAGCTCCTTCCCTCAGAGCATTCCCTGTCTGTAAACATCTACTGAGAATCACAGGAAGGACCTGGAAGGAGGTTGGCCTTCCTACTGCCCTTTGAGAAAAAAAGCATATGCACGCCTGTAATCCCAGCCCTTTGGGAGGCCAAGGTGGGTGGATCACGAGGTTAAGAGATCGAGACCATCCTGGTGCAATCTCAGTTAACCACTGCCTCCTAGGTTCAAGTGATTCTCCTGCCTCAGCCTCCCAAGTAGCTGGGATTATAGGCACTCACCACCACACTCAGCTCATTTTTGTGTTTTTAGTACAGTTGGGGTTTCACCATGTTGGCCAGGCTGGTCTTGAACTGCTGACCTCAAGTGATCCACCCGGCTCAGCCTCCCAAAGTGCTGGGATTGCAGGCGTGAGCCAATGCGCCTGGCCACCTGGCTAGTTTTGTGTGGAGACAGGATTTTGCCATTGCCTAGGTTGGTCTTGAACTCCTGGGTTCAAGTGATCTGCCGGCCTTGGCATCCCAAAGCATTGGGATTACTGTACCCAGCCCTTTTCATTTCTATAAAGCCAGGAGTAATCTGCCTTATTTCATTCCTCATTTTAGTAATATGAGTCTTCTCTATTTTTTTCTTAGTCAGTCTAGATAAGATTTGTCAATTTTGCTCATCTGCCCAGGAAACAACTTTTGGTTTTGTTGATTTTCAGGCATGTTTTGGATTCAGTATTTGATATTTTATAAGGGAAATATATGATCCATTTTAGAAACAGTTTCTTAGAAAATAATTAGAACATGTTTTAATTTGGAGTTTTTCTAAGTGAACTTACATGGTTCTCTGGAAAACGAACCAGAGTGGATGAGCTGACAGTAGCTAGACAAATGGAGCTACTGTGAATGGTGGGTTTCATTTCCATCTGCTTCCTCTCCCTCCTCCCACCCCATCCTGGGCTAGATAAGACTTTACAAATAAAACTCAGCTGGGCGTGGCTGCTCACACCTGTAATCCCAGCATTTCGGGAGGCCTAGGCAGGCGGATCACTTGAGGTCAGGAGTTTGAGACCAGCTTGACAAACATGGTGAAACTCTGCCTCTACTAAAAATACAGAAATTAGCCGGGGGTAGTATTGGACACCTGTAGTCCCAGCTAATCGGGTAGCTGAGGCAGGAGAATCACCTGAATCTGAAAGGCGGAGGTTATAGTGAGCCGAGATCACCTGAATCTGAAAGGCGGAGGTTATAGTGAGCCGAGATCATGCCACGGCACTCCAGCCTGGGCAACAGAGTTAGACTCTGTCTTAAAAAAATAAAAATAATACATAAGCAAATAAATAAATCGCAATTAAATACAAAAATCTCATAAAAACTAAAGACCGGAGTTTCAGCCTCATATCCTCCCAGGAGATGGCAAATGGTAGTCAGTGATCCTTGCACATGGAGAGAAGCCTCAGTCCCCACGAGCATGGGGCGGGGACCAGCCCAGCTGTGAGGCATCCTCTTCACATACCCTGACCCCTTGCCCAGTTCTGAAGACACCAGAGCTCACAACCGTCTCCCTCTGCCGTTCCCCAGCTCCTTCCCTTAGAGCATTCCCCATCTGCAAACATCTACTGAGAATCACAGGAAGGACCTGAAAGGAGGTTGGCCTTCCTACTGCCCTTTGAGGAAAAAAGCATATGCACGCCTGTAATCCCAGCACTTTGGGAGGCCAAGGCGGGTGGATCACGAGGTCAAGAGATTGAGACCATCCTGGTCAACATGGTGAAACCCATCTCTACTAAAAATACAAAAAATTAGCTGGCAAGGCTGAGGCAGGAGAATTGCCTGAACCCAGGCGGCGGAGGTTGCGGTGAGCCGAGATCACGCCATTGCACTCCAGCCTGGGTAACAAGAGCGAAACTCCGCCTCAAAAAAAAAGAAAAGAGAAAAAAAAGCATATGAATGGGATGAAAGTGTGTGCAAAATACAGAAGACGCAGAGGGACGGACAGTTTTCTCCTGGACTGGGATGAGGTGAGAGCTGGAACTTTGTAGGGCCGAGGCCCCGCCTTGCAGGTGCAGCTCCTACCTGAGATCCGAGTGGGCCCGAATCTTCTGGACCTTGATGTCCGAGTCCAGCACGTTGAGCAGCACAGCCAGCTGCCTCACGAGCGTGTCCTTCCGCTGCTCAGTCAGCTGCCCGGCACCAACCTGCAGGGTCAGCTCCACCAGGCCACTCTTCCTAGGGTCTGGGAAAAGAGAAGGAACAGGATTTGCACAGGCTTTAGCGTATAAGAAGCGAGGTTTCCATAAGAGCTCAGAATTACTCCCATGCCATTTCTACATCTGAGTTGCAGGGCGCAGGGAAATTCTTCTAAGCGCCCAGAGGCCCAGTATGTGGGAGGCCCTTCCCGTGTTGGATCCCAGTTTGTTATTGTTTTTTTTCCAGAAGATAATCGGGTGTACCTAATTAGCCTCTGGGCCAACTGAAAATTTCAGCCTCTTCCTACACTCCCCCAGAAAGAGAATTTGCTTGTGAGTGCCACGGGCACTGCGCAGTTCCGTTAGCGCTGGGTTGTTACGGCCTCTTTCACTGGAGCTGCCTCTTCCGTGCCGCCGAATGGAGGCCCTTGTGTCTGCTTCACACTGGGTCTTTGTCTTCTGGCAGGAAAAGAAAATCTAGTTGCCAGATAACATTCTCTCTTTCTTTCTTTTTTGAGACACAGTCTTGCTCTGTCAGCCAGGCTAGAGTGCAGTGGCGCGACCTAGGCTCACTGCAACCTCTGTCTCCCTGGCTCAAGCAATTCTTCTGTCTCAGCCTCTCGAGCAGCTGGGATCACAGGCGTGTGCCACCAGGCTCGGCTGATTTTTGTATTTTTTTAGTAGAGATGGGGTTTCACCATGTTGGCCAGGCTGGTATCGAACTCCTGACCTCAGGCAATCTGCCCGCCTCAGCTTCCCAAAGTGCTGAGATTATAGGCGTGAGCCACTGTACCCGGCCAACCAGATAACATTCTCTTTAAAGAGTGAAAAGGCTGGATCTATCTGGGGATACACAATAAGGTTTAAGAGCCATCCTCAAAGTGGGTCAGGCCAAGAGCTGGAGCCAGCCACAGGAGGCCTCCCATGCTGGTCACACCTGTCAGCACAAAGACCGCAAAGGCGACCGGCCAGATCATGCATGGCCAGCCCCAGAGCCCAGGAACACACCTGGCTGCACTTCCACAGTGGCAGTGTCCGTGTCCCAGGCCCCCTGACTGTCAGTGACTCGCAGGTGGAAAGCGTACACGCCCTCCACCAGATTCGTAAGCTGCAGCGCCGTGCTGTGGTCAGAGCCATCAATGACATCCTACGAAAGAACACGGATCACAGGGCAGTTGTCAATACTCACGCCCCAATTTCTGGCCTTCTGTTGACCCCAGTGTCCCATCTTTCTAACACAGGCATGACCTTCAGAGGGAGTGGGGCTGCAGGGGAATGGGGCTCCTGGGATAGCTAAAGACAGGAGAAATTCTCAGCATCTCTTCCCCAGAAAGCGCCAGGGCGCGCATCCTCAGTATTGCCTGAGTGGAGTTTACCAAGCACTTTGCAGGAATTATCACCAAATAATTGTATGCAACAAAGGGAAAGACCATATGAATTAGGGCAAGGACCCTGAGAACAAAACACAGGTTTTCTGGGTCCCGTTTTCTTTTTCATTTATTTATTTAGAGACGGAGGCTTGCTCTGTCACCTAGGCAGGAGTGCAGTGGTGCGATCTCCACTCACTGCAGCCTCTGCCTCCGGGGTTCAAGCAATTCTCCTGCCTCAGCCTCCTGAGTAGCTGGTATTATAGGCACATGCCACCATGCCCGGCTAATTTTCTGTATTTTTAGCAGAGACAGGGTTTCACTGTGTTAGCCAGGATGATCGCAGTCTCCTGACCTTGTGATCTGCCTGCCTTGGCCTCCCAGAGTACCGGGATTACGGGCGTGAGCCACCACGCCTGGCCCTAGGTCTTATTTTCAGACATAGCTTTACAAAACTCTCATCTTGATTTCACTCATAACATACCATGTTCACCTCAAATAACGCAAGAGCCTGGGTAGAACCCTCTGTTCTGTGTGCTTCTAAGCTCCAAAGAGTTAGAGAAGAACCTCCCAGACCCCTGCTAAGAGAAGGGGTGATAACGAATAAGTGCTCTGTACAGAGACCCACCGTCATTCCATTTACAGGCTAACCCCACCTAGTTGAATCTCTGTACAGAGGACCACTGTCATTCCATTTACAGGCTAACCCCACCTAGTTGAATCTCTGTACAGAGACCCACCGTCATTCCATTTACAGGCTAACCCCACCTAGTTGAATCTCTGTACAGAGGACCACTGTCATTCCATTTACAGGCTAACCCCACCTAGTTGAATCTCTGTACAGAGACCCACCGTCATTCCATTTACAGGCTAACCCCACCTAGTTGAATCTCTGTACAGAGGACCACTGTCATTCCATTTACAGGCTAACCCCACCTAGTTGAATCTCTGTACAGAGACCCACCGTCATTCCATTTACAGGCTAACCCCACCTAGTTGAATCTCTGTACAGAGGACCACTGTCATTCCATTTACAGGCTAACCCCACCTAGTTGAATCTCTGTACAGAGACCCACCGTCATTCCATTTACAGGCTAACCCCACCTAGTTGAATCTCTGTACAGAGGACCACTGTCATTCCATTTACAGGCTAACCCCACCTAGTTGAATCTCTGTACAGAGACCCACTGTCATTCCATTTACAGGCTAACCCCACCTGGTTGAATCTCTGTACAGAGACCCACTGTCATTCCATTTACAGGCTAACCCACCTAGTTGAATCTCTGTACAGAGACCCACTGTCATTCCATTTACAGGCTAACCCCACCTAGTTGAATCTCTGTACAGAGACCCACCGTCATTCCATTTACAGGCTAACCCCGTCTAGTTGAATCTCTGTACAGAGGCCCACTGTCATTCCATTTACAGGCTAACCCCGTCTAGTTGAATCTCTGTACAGAGGACCACTGTCATTCCATTTACAGGCTAACCCCACCTAGTTGAATCTCTGTACAGAGACCCACCGTCATTCCATTTACAGGCTAACCCACCTAGTTGAATCTCTGTACAGAGGACCACTGTCATTCCATTTACAGGCTAACCCCACCTAGTTGAATCTCTGTACAGAGGACCACTGTCATTCCATTTACAGGCTAACCCCGTCTAGTTGAATCTCTGTACAGAGACCCACTGTCATTCCATTTACAGGCTAACCCCACCTAGTTGAATCTCTGTACAGAGACCCACCGTCATTCCATTTACAGGCTAACCCACCTAGTTGAATCTCTGTACAGAGGACCACTGTCATTCCATTTACAGGCTAACCCCGTCTAGTTGAATCTCTGTGCAGAGACCCACTGTCATTCCATTTACAGGCTAACCCCACCTAGTTGAATCTCTGTACAGAGACCCACCGTCATTCCATTTACAGGCTAACCCACCTAGTTGAATCTCTGTACAGAGGACCACTGTCATTCCATTTACAGGCTAACCCCGTCTAGTTGAATCTCTGTACAGAGACCCACTGTCATTCCATTTACAGGCTAACCCCACCTAGTTGAATCTCTGTGCAGAGACCCACTGTCATTCCATTTACAGGCTAACCCCACCTAGTTGAATCTCTGTACAGAGACCCACTGTCATTCCATTTACAGGCTAACCCCACCTAGTTGAATCTCTGTACAGAGACCCACCGTCATTCCATTTACAGGCTAACCCCACCTAGTTGAATCTCTGTACAGAGGACCACTGTCATTCCATTTACAGGCTAACCCCGTCTAGTTGAATCTCTGTGCAGAGACCCACTGTCATTCCATTTACAGGCTAACCCACCTAGTTGAATCTCTGTACAGAGGACCACTGTCATTCCATTTACAGGCTAACCCCGTCTAGTTGAATCTCTGTACAGAGACCCACTGTCATTCCATTTACAGGCTAACCCCACCTAGTTGAATCTCTGTACAGAGACCCACTGTCATTCCATTTACAGGCTAACCCCACCTAGTTGAATCTCTGTACAGAGACCCACTGTCATTCCATTTACAGGCTAACCCCACCTAGTTGAATCTCTGTACAGAGACCCACTGTCATTCCATTTACAGGCTAACCCCACCTAGTTGAATCTCTGTACAGAGACCCACCGTCATCCATTTACAGGCTAACCCCACCTAGTTGAATCTCTGTGCAGAGACCCACTGTCATTCCATTTACAGGCTAACCCACCTAGTTGAATCTCTGTACAGAGACCCACTGTCATTCCATTTACAGGCTAACCCCGTCTAGTTGAATCTCTGTACAGAGACCCACTGTCATTCCATTTACAGGCTAACCCCGTCTAGTTGAATCTCTGTACAGAGACCCACCATCATTCCATTTACAGGCTAACCCCACCTAGTTGAATCTCTGTACAGAGGACCACTGTCATTCCATTTACAGGCTAACCCCACCTAGTTGAATCTCTGTACAGAGACCCACTGTCATTCCATTTACAGGCTAACCCCACCTAGTTGAATCTCTGTACAGAGACCCACTGTCATTCCATTTACAGGCTAACCCCGTCTAGTTGAATCTCTGTACAGAGACCCACCGTCATTCCATTTACAGGCTAACCCCGTCTAGTTGAATCTCTGTACAGAGGACCACTGTCATTCCATTTACAGGCTAACCCCACCTAGTTGAATCTCTGTACAGAGACCCACTGTCATTCCATTTACAGGCTAACCCCACCTAGTTGAATCTCTGTACAGAGACCCACTGTCATTCCATTTACAGGCTAACCCCACCTAGTTGAATCTCTGTACAGAGACCCACCGTCATTCCATTTACAGGCTAACCCACCTAGTTGAATCTCTGTACAGAGGACCACCGTCATTCCATTTACAGGCTAACCCCACCTAGTTGAATCTCTGTGCAGAGACCCACTGTCATTCCATTTACAGGCTAACCCCACCTAGTTGAATCTCTGTACAGAGACCCACCGTCATTCCATTTACAGGCTAACCCACCTAGTTGAATCTCTGTGCAGAGACCCACTGTCATTCCATTTACAGGCTAACCCACCTAGTTGAATCTCTGTACAGAGACCCACTGTCATTCCATTTACAGGCTAACCCCACCTAGTTGAATCTCTGTGCAGAGACCCACTGTCATTCCATTTACAGGCTAACCCCGTCTAGTTGAATCTCTGTACAGAGACCCACCGTCATTCCATTTACAGGCTAACCCCGTCTAGTTGAATCTCTGTACAGAGGACCACTGTCATTCCATTTACAGGCTAACCCCACCTAGTTGAATCTCTGTGCAGAGACCCACTGTCATTCCATTTACAGGCTAACCCACCTAGTTGAATCTCTGTACAGAGACCCACCGTCATTCCATTTACAGGCTAACCCACCTAGTTGAATCTCTGTACAGAGACCCACTGTCATTCCATTTACAGGCTAACCCCACCTAGTTGAATGGTGCTAATTCTAGAAGTGCTTAGAAGGCATAAAGCCTTTTCAGTTCCTCCCCTGTGGCCACTCCTTTAGTACAGTGCCAAGAGTGAATCTATCACTGCAGTCCTCGGAAACGGCAGGAATGAAGATGTACCCAGAGTTGTGTCCTGAGAGGCAGAGTGATGTGATGGGGGCAATGTGCCTGCCAGGTGCTAAGAACCCGGCCATGTCTAGTTTGATTAGAAATAGATTCACCTTGGCCAAGTCCCTCTTCATCTCTGCATTCTGCTTTCTGCATCTGTGAAATGGAAACCGCAATCCCTGACCTACTGACTCATCTGGTACAATATGAGGAACAGGAAAGATGGAAAAGCTAAGGAGCAGGATGATTCCCGCTGGAAGACTTGACCTCAAAGTCCATCCAAGCTACGGTTTCCTGCCCCGTCCAAAGTCTGCTCAGGAAAAAGAAAGGATTTCAGCTTTTGTTTAAATGTCAGGGCTGGGTGCGGTGGCTCATGCCTGTAATCCCAACACTTTGGGAGGCCGAGGCGGGTGGATCACGAGGTCAAGAGATCGAGACCATCCTGGTCAACATCGTGAAACCCCGACTCTACTAAAAATACAAAAAAATTAGCTGGGCAAGGTGGTGCATGCCTATAATCCCAGCTACTCAGGAGGCTGCGGCAGAAGAATTGCCTGAACCCAGGAGGCGGAGGTTGCGGTGAGCTGCGATCGCGCCTTTGCACTCCAGCCTGGGTAACAAGAGCGAAACTCCATCTCAAAAAAAAAAAAAAATCTCAAAGCAGCCTGCTGCCCCCAGCCTTGAGAACATTCAAATGTAGAAGCATAAGCACCTTACAGGGAACGTGGGAAGACAGATGAGGTTACAGTAGAGACACTGCCATGGACTGAACTGTGTCCTTCCCCAATTCATATATTGAAGCCCTAACCCCATGTGACTGTATCTAGAAATAGGACCTATACGGAAGTAGTTAAGGTTCACTGAGGTTATAACGGTAGGCCCCTAATCCAATAGGATTAGTGTCCTCATAAGAAGAGAAACCAGGGCGCTCTGTTCCCCTGCTATGGGAGGACATGGGAGGAAAGCAGCTGTTTGCAAGCCGGGAAGAAAGACTTCACCTGAAATGGCATTAGCCGGCAACCTGGGCCTGTCTTTCCAGCCTCCGTAAGGGTGACGGAGCGAAGTGCTGCTGTTGAAGGCTCCTTATGCTTATGTCCTTACAATATTCTGCGGTACGCTATTGAGGCAGCCCAGGCTGACTGGTGCAGAGGGAATGATAAGTAGGCCAAGTGCCATTCTCTGTCGGTACTCACTCCAGCGGCTGGACTCTGGGCATCCCGGATCCACAGATAGGACACAACTCCCTGGTCATCAGTAGACTCTGAACCATCCAAAGTAATGGAGTTATTGGGAAGCACAAGAATATGTCTTCCACCAGCCCGGGCTCTGGGAGGACTATTAGTTTCTAAGTCAAATAGAGCAAAAGTGAAAGCAAAGAGACTGATTTAAAACACAGGTGATAGACGTGTGTCGTAAAACACCCACAACTCTTCCACCTTGCAGATACAGCACGCAGATTTTAAACATCCAAAAAGGTGCTATTTTCTTTCCCAAATGCCTATAAGATAATGATAGACTTCCTTAAAGCTCCATTTGTGCTTAGCCAGCTATAATTTGCGATGGAAAGGTAAAGCAGGTGGCGAGCTACACAATGGGAATTTTTCTAATATTGTTATGCTTTCTCCGTCCTTGAAAAACAGAAACAATGATCTTACGTACACTTAGGGTGCTGAAGGAGAAAACACTTTAAAATATACTCTGGGTCATTTTGTACTGGCCCACACTATCTGGCCAGAAATATTTCTACTTCAAGTACTGCCAAATCTTGACTCTCTAAGATAAAAAAAAATAACTGAAGAAAATGTAGGCTGTGTGCAGTGGCTCACACCTCTAATCCCAGCACATTAGGAGGCTGAAGCAGGAGAATCACAGGAGACCAAGAGTTTGAGACTGGCCTGGGCAACACAGCAAAACTCCATCTCTACAAAACATTACAAATTAGAATAATAACAGTGATAAGTCGGCCTTCACTTCTCAGACTAGGTGTTGAATGTAAATGAGGCAAGGCCAGGCATGGTGGCTCATAACTGTAATCCTAACACTTGGATTACAGTTAGAGGCTGTAATCAAGTGATTTCAGCCTCAGAGGCTGAGGCAGGAAGAGCATTTGAAGCCAGAAGTTCAAGACCAGCCTGGGTAGCAAGACCCCGTCTCCACAGACACAAAAAAATTAAAATTATTAGCTGGGCACAAGTGACACACACCTGTAGTCCCAGCTCCTCAGGAAGCTGAGGTGGGAGGATCACTTGAGATCAGGGGTTTGAGGCTGCAATGAGCTATGATCGTACCACTGGACTCCAGTATGAGCAACAGAGCGAGACCCTATGTCTATTTTTAAAATAAAATAATGAGGCCATGTAAGAGCTATTTCTGATGTAAGAGCTTCAGAAAAGAGAGGCCAGGGAGCACTAACAAGACTGAGGCAGGATGGGGAGACCGTAATTAGACACGGTGTCCATTGAAGATGAGGCTGCGGTGAGGCAAATCCTGCTTGTCCAGATGGGGCTCTGGGGCCCAGCCTGATCCCTCCAATTTCCCCATAGAAACAAGGCAATGTGCCTGTGCAGACTGTTCTCTACTTTTATGCATGGTTAAAAATCTCTACAATAAAATCATTTTAAAAACCCTAATCTGTGTCACTTTGCTATTAAAATTGCTTCAGCCTCTCCCAGCTGCCCAGAGGATAAAGTCCAAAGCCCTAGGCATGGCCCGTGGCACCTGCAGCCCTCCATGGCAGAGTCTGTGCCTCAGGCTGCAGCCACTCTCCCGGCGTCCCACACCCCTGCCGTTCCACAAAGCTTGGACCTTTCCATCCAGCCCGGCTCTTACACTCCCCTGCACTTCAACTCTGAGCATCCGTTCACTGACTCATTCAACATCTCTGATTTGCCGTGAGTCTAGCACTTGCTATACTGAGGATACAGGGAGGTCCGAAGCAAAGGCACTCGGGCAGTTCACAGTCAAATGGGAAGACAGACGAAGAGACAGTACCTAAAACTGTGCTGCCTAGTCTAGACCACAGGTTCCACATTCGGAAACAATATGGAATTTGAAAACATCTCTTTTCTTGAATTTCCAAGGGAGAAAGAAAGAAAAAAGCATAATGGTGTCATTTGGACAGGGGTCGGTCATCGCTGGCAGTCGCAGAGGACGCGTGAAGTCGTTAGAAGATGCACGTCACAAATAAAAGGAAAGCCTTCTTGCAGAAGGCGACAGGAGACAGCTCACGGGAACAGAAGCGAGCTGGCTCTTTTTGGCCAGGCAGGGGTTCGACATCTGCTGTGAAGAAATAAGCAAACGCCAATGTCTCTGAACAGTCGTGACCCGGCTGATGGCCCGGCAGACCCGAGGGTGGAATAGGCTCAGCCCCGTCCACCTCAGACCCACTCACCCTTCTTCACGGCCACGGTGAGCGCGGACGTGCTGCTCAGTCCCTGCCGGTCTTTCACTGTCAGGCGGAAGTGGTAGGTCCCCACCTGGAGACCGGTCACGGTGGCTACCGCTTTGTCAGTATTTTCCATCTCCACTGCACTGGGGCCTCTGGAACACATGGAAGCTGTTACGGCGAGGGAGGAGGCGGGGCTCTGAACATGACAGGCATGTGACTTGTACGCTCATCAGTGTTTTGCTCCGGCTACAACATATACCATTCAGAGAATCCTCAGAAAACTCCTTTCATCTGTACTCTCTAGTTCAGTGTACGAGTCACAAGCTAAACCTATTTCAGATGCAGTCTGCTGGATTACCGGGAAGAGAATATTTGTTCTCCTTTTTTTCTAAGTCAAGCTGCCATTGAAATCATCTCTCCTGGGAAAATGGAGCCTTAGAAATGACCCCCATTTCTTCTTTGAGTAAAATTAGGTTAAATCCTCATGTATCTTTTTAGGGAGACCATGGAGGAGGAGGGAATAAGCCAGATAAGCCCTCTCCTAAGAGAGAAGCCGCAGTGTAGTCATGAAGACAGGGGCTTGTCAACAGTACCGAGGTGGGTCCAGGCTCTTTCTCTGACTATCTGGGCAACCTTAGTCTATGTGGTCTCATTAGTGTCACAAGCCTCAGTTTCTTCAACTTTAAAGAGGAATAAGATTCTTATTTATCTCTTACAAACTGATACAGGGTTCTATGAGACAGAGCATGTAAAGCTCAGAAAATGTTAGATGACATGGGTCGCCCTTACACTCTGCACTTCTGCTGTCTCCGGTCCCTGCAGCGTGGGGTGGGTGTAGACAGGATCTCACACAGGTTTTCCTGAGCCTCTTCTGCCGTGAGCTGGTCTCACACCAGGACAGCCCTGTTCCCCCGCCCTGAGCTCCGCCTCCCTCCACTGTCAATGGTGTCCACCCACACTTAATGTCCTCTTCAACCAATACCGCCCAGCCACTGCTAGAAACGTGCTTAAATCCCAACTCCTCAAAACACTCGAGCTGACTATCTACTGCAGATCCTGCAGAGAAGGGGTAATATGAGCATTCCGCATGGGCGTGAATCTAGCCCGGCAGTGGGACGGGCTACCTGACGTGCTCCCAGCGGTAGAAGACGATGCCGTGGTCATCGCTGCTGCGGCTCCCATCCAGGGTGGCACTTTGCACTGGGAAGATCAGCTCTTTATCAGGGCCAGCCACAGCCACCGGAGGTCTGTTGTTTTCTGGGATTACGGAAACAGTGTGAAAAAGTATGATCTCTTTGCATTAAGTCTGCAATCCCGTGATTTATGGATTTAAGCAAATCACTCATCTTCTGAGCAGGCAGCCGTTAGAGTCCTGGAGTGAAGCACTGCAGCCTCCTAGCTGACCCAGGAGTTGAACAGTTCAAGTTCAAGACTGGGGTTACAGGCAGCCGAGAAACACTGTCTCTAATAGACACATCTTTGGTTTCTTTAAAAGATTTTCAGTCATAGGGACAAAGGAAAGGGAAGAAGGGTGGAAGAAGAGAGGGAAGAAGGGTTAGTGAGGAAGAAAACTGAGGAAGGAAAGAAGGAAGGGAGGCAGGAAGGGAGACAGAGAAGGAGAGAGGCGACGTCACGGAGAGGGTAGGGGACATCCATGTGAAGAGACCTGCTTCCTCAGGTAGGGCTTACTTCCTTTTGTCTCTGTAGCCTCAGCACTAACATTTTAAATTAAATGTTGAACAAAAGTAAAATATATAAAGTATGGCTGATATTGGCGGGGTGTGGGAGCTCACGCCTGTAATCCCAGCACTTTGGGAGGCCAAGGGTGAGGGAATTGCTTGAGCCCAGGAGTTTGAGACCAGCCTGGGCAACAGAGTGAGACCCTGTCTCAAAAAAAAAAAAAAGTCATGTAGTCAAAAGCTGTGGCAGCCATTACCCAATGTCCAGACCACGCCACAGTCCCGGTGACCCTACTCACTGCAGGACGGTGGTCTCCCCTGGCTTTAGGACAGAGTACTAGGGTGACATATGTTTACAAAGCCCTTTAGGTTGGAGCCCCTGGCTCTCTGGGATCATCTACTGTCATTCCAGTGCCCGCCCCCCACACCGCATCCCATTCCCACACCCCTACCTCTTTTCTCTCTCTTCAGTCATAGTAATTCCTTTTCATCTTCGAATGTACGGGGCCCCCTTCCTTGGCGCCCATGCACAGTGTCCTGTACCGTTCAAATGTACGAGACCCCTTCCTTGGCGCCCATGCACAGTGTCCTGTACCGTTCAAATGTACGAGACCCCTTCCTTGGCGCTCATGCACACTGTCCTGTACCATTCGAATGTATGGGACCCCCTTGCTTGGCGCTCATGCACACTGTCCTGTACCATTCGAATGTATGGGACCCCCTTCCTTGGCGCTCATGCACACTGTCCTGTACCGTTCGAATGTATGGGACCCCCTTCCTTGGCGCTCATGCACACTGTCCTGTACCGTTCGAATGTATGGGACCCCCTTCCTTGGCGCTCATGCACACTGTCCTGTACCGTTCGAATGTATGGGACCCCCTTCCTTGGCACTCATGCACACTGTCCTGTACCATTCGAATGTATGGGACCCCCTTCCTTGGCGCTCATGCACACTGTCCTGTACTGTTCGAATGTATGGGACCCCCTTCCTTGGCGCTCATACACACTGTCCTGTACTGTTCGAATGTATGGGACCCCCTTCCTTGGCGCTCATGCACACTGTCCTGTACTGTTCGAATGTATGGGACCCCCTTCCTTGGCGCTCATGCACACTGTCCTGTACTGTTCGAATGTATGGGACCCCCTTCCTTGGCGCTCATGCACACTGTCCTGTACTGTTCGAATGTATGGGACCCCCTTCCTTGGCGCTCATGCACACTGTCCTGTACTGTTCGAATGTATGGGACCCCCTTCCTTGGTGCTCATGCACACTGTCCTGTACCGTTCAAATGTACGAGACCCCTTGCTTGGCGCTCATGCACACTGTCCTGTACCGTTCGAATGTACGGGACCCCCTTCCTTGGCACTCATGCACACTGTCCTGTACCATTCGAATGTATGGGACCCCCTTCCTTGGCGCTCATGCACACTGTCCTGTACCGTTCGAATGTACGGGACCCCCTTCCTTGGCGCTCATGCACACTGTCCTGTACCGTTCGAATGTACGGGACCCCCTTCCTTGGCGCTCATGCACACTGTCCTGTACCATTCGAATGTATGGGACCCCCTTCCTTGGCGCTCATGCACACTGTCCTGTACTGTTCGAATGTATGGGACCCCCTTCCTTGGCGCTCATGCATACTGTTTCCTCTGCGGAGAACTCTTCCTCTTGCCCTGCACTGCCCACCCCTCCCCTTCTTCACTGTGCCCTGTGCTTCAACCCTGAGCTCCTCTAAGAGCTCTGTGTGGATGCATCACACCCAGCCGAGCGCTCCTTCTCTGGAGTCCTGTAGTGCCCTGTGGTTAGAAAGCACTGATCACATAGTTTAATGTGAACTTCTCCAGAAGCCCTGCAAGGGCAGAGCTCATCTATCTTCTTTAGTTCCATGTCCCCAGGTCAAACTGACAGCCCTTTTTATGTATTAGCAGCATAAATACGTTGTCTACACGTTGAGTATAATCTCATCGCTACCACTAAGGCTGTTTGACTTGGGTAGGCCGAGGCCTGCATTTTCATGGAATGGCTAATCAACAGTGATGCTGAGCTGGAACATGTGCCCCAGGGTCAGGCCACATCTGAGTGTCAGGCCACACATGAGAACCAGGCCCTTCAAGACCCCCGGAGCTCTCTACAGCAGAGTGGGGCACGGATGGAAGCGTCCACATGGCAAATCGGGGCCCACAGCAGTGCTGTGGATGGCTCTCACTTCATCCTTCATACCATAGATTACAGACAGTCGTGGCAGGATTTAGAACCTCAAAATGAAATTAGTTTGATATGGATCTTCAGCAGCCAGAGGCCAGTGGCACCAAGTGCGGCATCTTCAGAGCCCGGAAGCCCCGCTACATTTGTGCTACAATATCCAAGGCCAAATCTCTTTCCCCTCCACCTACCAGGCAAGACGATCACAGTCACCACAGCAGTAGACTGTTGCCTTGAAGAATCTGTCACCATCAGCCGAAATGTATAATCTCCTTCCTGCATTGCAGACAAATGAAGGAACGGCGTCTGTACTCCCTAGGTAACAGCAAATACAAAAGTAAAGACAAACAAAAAGAGTTAATAGTATGACAGAATGAAAACTAACGACTTCACTTAATGCAGAGATCCTGCTCAAGAGAGAAACGTGTTTGGCCGGGTGCGACGGTTCACATCTGTAATCCCGGCACTTTGGGAGGCCAAGGCGGGCAGACCGCTTGAGGTCAGGAGCTAGAAACCACTCTGGCCAACATGATGGAACCCCATCTCTACTAAATATGTATATTAAAAAAAAATCAGCTGGACACGGTGGAGGGTGCCTGTAATCCCAGCTACTTAAGAGGTGGAGGCACAAGAATCACTTGGAACTTGCGAGGTGGAGGTTGCAGTGAGCTGAGATTGTACCACTGCACTGCAGCCTGGGTGACAAAAAGAAAAAATGTGTTGATCCTCAGGAAAATGTAACCTAAAGCCTACCGTGCACCCTCATACACTGTTGAAGGAATGTAAATTAGTATGTGCTTTTTGGAAGCCAATCTCAAAACAGCTATTAAAATATTAAATAAGCACATCCTACAACCCAGTAATTTGACTTCTTAGTATCTATTCTAGAGAAACGCACAAGGGGACTCGCCCATGGATGTTGTCTGAAGCACAGTCTGTCACAGCAACACATGGAAACAGTCCACACGTCCACAACAGGAGGGCGGCTAAACACCCTGCAATACACTGTGGAGCGCTAGTTCACAAGAAAGAAGCTGGCTAACGCCCTTCCCGGCCTTAGCCGACCTGCACCCAGGTAAATAAAAATTTAAATTAAATTTAAAAATGAATTAGTTTAAGATCATGAGGCAGATTTATAAATACTAAAATGGAAAATGTTGAAGACACATTAAGCAAAAAAAAGAAAGTTGGGTTGTATTCAAAAGCAAATGGCAAAAACAATGTGTGGAACAATGCATACAGTTTGAAAGCTATTGCTGCATGTACACATACACACTCTCACACTTGGAAAGGATTCTGGAATTATACACGTTAAACTGATAAAAGTAATCATCTCCAATAAGGAGAACTGGATGACAGTGGTGATCAATTTATTTGAACTTATTTTACCAAAATGTATTTGAGCTTTTTTTTTCTAACCACAAGAGGCAATTCATCTATTACTTTTGTAATTGGAAATAATTTTTTGCCTCCAAACTGATCTGGTATGTGAATGACTCTGCACACAATGTAAAGGAATGCTGTGGCAAATGGCAACGGAGCAGACTGCTGTGTCTCACCCACGTCCCCAAGGCAGCCATGTTTCAGGCAATTGCAAAGGCTTCACTTCCTTCTCCAGCAAGAGCACACAGCCTCAGCAGGCGGCTTGGCAGTTTTTAGATGGATATAAGAGGAGCTGATTCACAGACCTCATCTTTGTGATTGCTCCAGTTAACACAGAGCATCACCCCTTTGGACATCTTAACCCATCAAGCATAAGGCAATAAGGCTGCGACTGTGGATATGCTTTGGAAAGGAAGAGAGAGGATGTCTGGCAGCTGGGCTGCTGTGTAGAGGAGAGGCTCACAGTATGGCCCAGCTTTCAGGAACTTCGGATACACGTGCAGTATGCATGGATGAATGCTGGAGTGTTAGCTTTGAATGCATAACTCCTAATAATTAAGTAAAAGAAAATTAGAATTTTTTTTTTTTTTTTGAGATGGAGTTTCGCTCTTGTTACCCAGGCTGGAGTGCAATGGCGCGATCTCAGCTCACTGCAACCTCCACCTCCTGGGTTCAGGCAATTCTCCTGCCTCAGCCTCCCAAGTAGCTGGGATTACAGGCACGGGCTGCCATGCCCAGCTAATTTTTTATATTTTTAGTAGAGACGGGGTTTCACCATGTTGACCAGGATGGTCTCGATCTCTTGACCTCGTGATCCACCCGTCTCGGCCTCCCAAAGTGCTGGGATTACAGGCTTGAGCCACCGCGCCCGGCTGAATCAGAATTCTCAACACAACAGAAGCAAACAGAGCACTTGCTACAACCCCTAGGTAGAGATGGACACACCAAGTGGGTTCTCCAAGGATATCCAGGCTCATGGCTCTTTCGTTCCGTAAACCTACCCAGTCACTTTTAACCCCTTATAATTTCAAAGCATGTTCCAAGAATACTGGAAAGCAAAGCAGATAAGTTTCGTGGAATATCTGATTTTATCTTAAATACTAATGAGCAGTGTATCTTGGATGGGTGAGGCAAAATTTGCAGAAGAAAAGGAAGCTGGAAATGTAAGGTCCTATCTTTTGCTTTTTCTTCACGAAACTCTCAAATAATAACATAACTTCAAAAACACCAAGCTGGTTAGCAACAAAAACAGATAGCTTTGCCTATCACAAAAAGAAGAATAAACAAACAGCTCATACACACAACAGCAGTTTCAAGATTATTATGTTGTTAGACAAATACACTTAAAAGGTTTGAACAAATCAAAAGGTAGATATAAACCAGGCCCTAAAAAGCAGCCAGAGGACGCAGACAAGGGAGCAGGGAGTTTCCACAAACAGGAGAAACAGAGTAACAAATCCGATTCTGATCATGAGGCTTCGATTCCATTACTTCTAAGGTTGCTTCCAATACTAAAATATTTCTCTAACAGATGTGAGACTTTCCTGAAACTGATCTCAAAGTCTAATTGTCAACACAGAACCAACTGGTTGCTGTCCTGTGCTTACGTAAGTGGGTGAGGGGAAAGGGTGTAAACTTGGAAGACTTGTGAGCTTAGGTCCTTTTCTAATCGTTGTAATACATCAGATAATTTCACAAAACAAATTATCTAAATTTAACTGCCTACCCCAACCAATAGCAGATAGATAGATGACAGACAGACAGACGGACGGGTGGGCAGATGACATACAGACAGACAAGAGTCTGAAGGCAGGATGAAGAACTTGCCTGCATAGCCACATGCTTGCCCTCGCTCCCAGGACCCAGCGACCACTCATAGAAAACAATCTGGTGGTCGTCACTGCTCTGGTTTCCGTTCAAAGTGATGGAGTTTTGAGGCAAAGTTATGGTGTGATTTGGTCCTGCATTAGCAACTGGTGGGAAGTCCACAGCACTGTTGACAATTAGGGCTGCAGTTGTGGCATTAGTGGTTCCATCTGAGTCTGTAACTGTCAACCTACAGAAAGGAGAAGAATCCATAGTTGCAAGAATATGCCAGGCTGGGCACAGTGGCTTGTGCCTGTAATCCCAGCACTTTGGGAAGCCGAGGTGGGAGGACTGCTTGAGCCCAGGAGTTCTGAGCCTAGCTGGGCCACAGAGTGAGACCCTATCTGCATTAAAAAAAAAAAACAAAAATTAGTCGGATGTTGTGACGCATACCCGTAGTTCTAGCTACTTGGGAGGCTGAGGTGGGAGGATCGTTTGAGCCTGGGAGGTCAAAGCTTCAGTGAGCTGATATTGCTCCACTGCACTCCAGCTCAGGCAGCACAGCAAGAGACTGTCCCAAAAGACAACCACACACAAAAAAGAAAGGCAGACCTAAAAAGTCATTGCCAAACCTCAAGGTACACTTAGGTCAATTTAGTCGGTTCATGCAACAGTTCTCAGACCAGCTTAGAACAGGTATAAACAGAAATTTAAGGAGGAAGCAAAGATAAACATGCACACTTGATGTTTCTGTTTGATTCTGTTGCTGTTGACTGTTTTATTTGAGTTCATAACATATTGATGTTAGAGTTTAACCTTTATGGATTTCTGACTAGTCTTTGAGATGCTGGGTGAAAAAACCATCCTCAACCAACACAGACGCCGCTCTCTGGTAACGAAGACTAAAAATGGGTCAGGTTTAAGTCCTGCCTTCAGGCTGAGCACAAGACAGAAAGCCACTCCTGAATGTTCAGCTACAAAGCTTTTTATTTTTATTTTTTTACTTACAATAAAAAGTTTATTTTTTGTTCCAGTCAGTATTTTTTCCTTAAGAACAAATACCAAAAAACAAAAAAACAAAACAAAAAGCTGATCACAGTTTGCTTAAAACAGCCAGACTTGGACAATATTTGTATCTTTGTTCACGGAAACATACATCACTGAAGCTGCGCTCAGAAGAGCCACTTCCAGAGTTCATGTCCTACACAGGCACGCAGGGACACACCGCTTGGAGTCACAGTTTTCGTCACAGAGTCACTCGTCACTACACGTCAAACAAGTTGTGTCTCATCAAGTCACCTCTACAACAGCATTAATTACACATATTATGTTTTCAGGATACGCCTTGCAGAGCAGTGTTAGGATGAAGCACTTCCACATGTGGACCAGTGCTCACGCTCTGCAAACACAAAGAGAAGTGCACTCACCTTCCTGCACTAAACTGACGCCTTCGTGTGTGTGTGTGAGACAGAGTCTCGCTCTGTCGCCCAAACTAGAGTGCAATGGCACGATCTCGGCCCACTGCAACCTCTGCTTCCCGGGTTCAAGCGATTTTCCTGCCTCAGCCTCCTGAGTAGCTGGGATTACAGGTGCCTGCCACCACACCCGGCTAATTTTTGTATTTTTGGTAGAGACCAGGTTTCACCATCTTGCCCAGACTAGTCTCAAAATCCTGACCTCATGATCAACCCGCCTTGGCCTCCCAAAGTGCTGGGATTATCGGAGTCAGCCACCGGCCCCGGCCCCACTAAACTGATTCCTAATGTGGCCCTGAGAACAGTGAATTCACAAATCGGTCACTTCATCCTTCTACGTCAAAGGCGGTGGTAGGGGGCAGTGATGATGCTAAATAAGTATCAGTGAAGCTGCGGCAGACACAGGCCTTCCTCTCAGGGCGGTACACGAGGGGCCTTCCTCTCAGGGCGGTACACGCGGGGCCTTCCTCTCAGGGCGGGTACACTTTGGGCCTTCCTCTCAGGGCGGGTACACTTTGGGCCTTCCTCGCAGGGCGGGTACACGTGGGGCCTTCCTCTCAGGGCGGGTACACTTTGGGCCTTCCTCTCAGGGCGGGTACACTTTGGGCCTTCCTCGCAGGGCGGGTACACTTTGGGCCTTCCTCGCAGGGCGGGTACACGCGGGGCCTTCCTCGCAGGGCGGGTACACGCGGGGCCTTCCTCGCAGGGCGGGTACACGCGGGGCCTTCCTGGCAGGGCGGGTACACGCGGGGCCTTCCTCGCAGGGCGGGTACACGCGGGGCCTTCCTGGCAGGATGGGTACACTTGGGGCCTTCCTCGCAGGGCAGGTACACGCAGGGTTTTCGTCTCGGGGCAAGTACATGTAGGGGGCACCTGTGCATCCTGAGCTTCCTTCCACACTGTGCCTCACCCTCCACACAACCAAGATCCAGCTTCTGCCCTGGCTCTGACAGCAGACCAAACACCTAAAAGTCCTTCCTTCTCAACCAGGCTGAGTGGGGACACCTTCTGGGCCCTTTAGACAATGTCTTCCTGGGTTAGCAGCAGTGACCTCCTCAATCAGATGGTAAAGCATAATTAAATAGAAATGAATCAAATGAATCTCATAAAGTGCATTTCACCATATACAAATTTTGCCCCAATAAATAAATGAAGTTCATATTAATTGATCCAAAACCCCCGTGAAAGCCAAATCTCCTCTCTTGATCAAAATAAGAAGTACAGTCTTTTATATGCATTAGTTTAAAGAAACAGTCAAGATTTAAGTCGCAGGAAGCACAGTAAAGGCAGGGACCCACTTGCCTGAAACTGTAGTTACCAGGATCCAGGTGAGACAAGCGTAAGACGGGGGAGTCAACGGAAGTCCTCTCTTCTATAAGGGGCCCGCTAATTTCTTCCCAGTGATAACTCACTATTTCAGTGTCATCTGTACTTTCTAAAAGATTAGGAAATAAAGACAAGAATGAAATACAAGAAGAGGAAAACTTAAGTTTTGTAATTTAATTACTGCATATTTAAATTCATTTTTAAATGAAATTATATACCTGCCTAGAACTCAATTGCTATGTACTGTATATCAGAAGGAGGTACTTTCCTACGCCCGAAATTATTGTTGCTGTTTTTCTCCTGGATTTCCACCAGGTTTGAGTGAGGGTGTTCCCACTCAGCTGAATATTTAAGAAGCACAGTGACAGATGCTTTGGCTTTTAAAAAACAGGAGCCAACAAAATGCAGCACATGGAATTGCTACTTCCGCTCACCTCAACTACAGCATGTGAGCTCCTACTGATCACTATAAATAGGCATCTCAACTGACAGGCTCAGAAAGACTCGAGAGGCTTTTCTAGAACTTATAAAACATCTTTTACTACCTTCATTATTAAGGGGTAAATCCAGAGAAACGTCATATCCCTACATGAACATTTTCTATTTCTACTTTAAAAGTCAACAAACAAAATGTACCATGAGGATTCACAGAAACTTAGACCTGGAAGGGGGTGGGTTTCATCTAATCCATTTAAGGAAAGAGCAAGTTCGTGTGACAGATTAATAATCCTGAACAGTTTCCTGGAAGTAAGCCATACTCACTAGAGGAATCAAAATGTGATACATTTCCATTTAAAATCTACTTTATTTTCACATTGCTAAGAAAGTTCTTTAGGGCTTCGCCATTTGATTGGCAATTACTGTGAAATATGGGCTATATTTGAATAGATGCAAATCATCATGTCAAGGTGCTCTCTGTACATTTGCAGGCTTGCAAAATAGAGCAGCTTTAGCTGCCAACAAGGATTCTCCTGACGACCAAGCTGCTCTCCTTGTTAGCAGCTAACAAGAATTCTCCCAAGTATTCTCCCATTCTTCTCTCTACAGGATTTGGTATTAGCTTTGTGATTAAATGTACATAAAATGCAATTACCTGGTACACTGATAAGGTTGAACCTAGTCAATCACAGGACGTTTTCAAAATATATTTACACAAGACCTGTAGTTACTCAAGGGCCCCTTCCACATATACTCCAATAGAAGAATGAACTCTGAACTAATAATTTAAAATACCATACTTCCTCACTGAAGACATCCTTTCTAAGAGTTGTTAAAAGTGATTTTCCCAGGCCAGGCGTGGTGGCTCACGCCTGTAATCCCAGCACTTTGGGAGACTGAGGTGGGCAGGTCACGAGATCAGGAGTTCGACACCAGCCTGACCAACATGGTGAAAGTCCATCTCTACTGAAAATACAAAAATTAGCCAGGTGTGGTGGCATGCTCCTATAATCCTAGCTACTCAGGAGGTTAGGGCAGGAGAAGTGCTTGAACCGAGGAGGCAGAGGTTGCAGTGAGCCGAGATCGCACCACTGCACTCCAGCCTGGGTGACAGAGCAAAACTCCATCTCAAAAAAAAAAAAAGTGACTTTCCCATCTGGTCTGGGGCACTTCCCCTCCTGAGGATCACAGGAGTTCCTCTCTGGCATCCAAGTAATTCCTTTAAAATAATCTAATTTATTTAAAATTATCTAAAATAATCCCTGGTGTCTAATGAATTCTTTTAAAGTAATCTTCTAAAATAAGTTATATACATAAAGATGCATTTACATAGTGATTTTCCAACTGCTAATCATATATTCCACACCAGAAGAAGATTCCTCAGTGGACGCTCTATCCCAATCACATGGCCAGGCCCTAAAGAAATTTCTAATAGAATAGACAAAAGCTGAAGGGAAAATAAGCACAGAACAGAGAAGCTAAAGGAACTCAAGAAGGCATAAAACTGAGGAAGGAAATGATCGTTTATCGGAGTAACAGCCTGTAAGTCTTCCCAGCCTTGATGCAGAGCACCCACTACACTTCCTAGCATGTAGAGAGAAAAAAGAAATCCCTAAACTATCACAGGATACGCACGGCTGCCGTCAATGAGGGCGGACGTCAAAGGCAGAGTGAGCTCTTGCATTTGGGGAGAAACAACAGCTACAGGTGGCAAGTTGACTCTTCTGGCTGTAACCGGAAAAAAATGGCAGTGACTGAGCCCACGTTGTGTATGCGTATGTCATGACCCACATAAAATTATCCGCTTTCGAATGATTATAAATGTCTTGTTAAGAAGGTGTTTACCCTACAGGCCTCAACTGTGGAGAGCACTTTTTAAAGTCTGGAGTCTCTCCGTGAATTTCAGGAGCTTGTCTGTACATTTAGACTTTTGAATGTAAGCCCAGGCTCAGTCAAGATATGCGGTAATAACCAAGAGGCTGGTCACAGAAGGTGAGCAGTAATTCCAGAGCAGGAGCAAGGGTTTACAGTTCCGGCTCCTGGGATTAACTGGATCTTCAATATCTGACCAAAAGGCCAGCCTCCGCTCCCAATCATGCTTCAGCTGTAATAAGAACCAGGCAGAATATGCAAAAGACAGAGCTGTCAGGTCCTCAGGCTGGGCTCCAGTTGGTTCGGGGGAGGTTTACCTTAATTGTGTAGGTTGTGCTCTCAGCACAGGTGAGGGGGTGATGGAGGCTGAAAGCCAGCCCATTCCACTCACCAAGCCAGGGCTGTGCCCGCCCAGCCCAAGAACCACCCATTTCTAATTGACATGAATGCACTGACCGATGAGCACACATTTTCCCCTGACCTCTTGGTTGAATAAATACGCCGTTGAATGTATTTAACATGCTGCCTGCTCCGAAGGTGAACCTGACTCGTGTAGAGTGGAGGCAGAAGTTAGGGTGGATGGAATAATTGTCTGCTAGAGAGGGCTGAGGAAGATTCGCCACCATTCAAGAGCAGCCAGCAATAACCTTGTCAAGCAAGTACTAAGTATTATACAGAAAGCAAAACACAACAAAACAAAACCATAATCTTGGCATGTTTTCTCTACAATAGTCTACTATAAAATAGGTTTCCTCTCTCTCTCCCTCCCTACACAGACAGATAGATAGACGGTCATCCAGGCACCAAAAATTGAGATAAATGTGTACAACAGGAGGCCATTCTCCTACACAGGCTTACCGGGCTTAACAGTGACATTGACAAATGCTTCTCCAAAGGCATTTTCATTAGAAACAGCGACTTTGAAGACATAAAGTCCGACAGACAACTGTAACATAAAGCAAAGTTACACAACTCAACTTGCAAAAGCTATGATGGGTCCATTACTTAGTAAAAGCTAAAATCTCCCAGAAGCCACACTCCTAAAGTCGGCATGGAGAAGCGGCTCAGCAGAGAGGCTCGTCTGGATCTGTCAAGAGGCTGCCACGTCCGAAGCCTGCATTCCAGAACACGAAGTATCACCTAGACAGGCCTTTAGCTTCGCTGCAGACGCCTAAGTGAGACGAACCAGCAGAGGGCAGCAGTTCTCAAACGTGTGTGTGTGAACAAGCATTTTTACCGCCTCGGTCTGGTGGGTGGGCTGCAGCTGGCTGCACGCCACACTTTGAGAACCAGAGCTCAGTGACATGGGGATGATGCAAGTCCATGCCGCACCATTAGCTGTGTGGTCCCAGGAGCCGAAGACAACATAATCATCTGGTAGGAAACCAGACCTCTGGCCGCAAAGTCAGTTTACATAATCTCCCAGGCCAGAAAGGTGGCGTGTTTCTTGTGAATGCTCGTATCATACAGCAATATGGGATAGGGCGACCTGTGACCTGGGATGGAATTTTTGGCAACTCTAGAGATGTGCCTGATCGAGAACCAGAGATAAGTCGAATGTACTTAACACTGCAAGGAGAGCAGGTGTTAGAACAGGTTTTAACCGCACTGCGATGCCTGTGGCACACCCAGACTCTTTTCCCCAAGCTGAGATATACCAACTAACTCAAATCAAGAAAAGCCGTCCGATGCCTCCTAACCGTCTGCCTGCTCACTTGCACAGCTGAAGCTTTATTCATCCATATCCTTCTTTTGATCTTACCATAAGAAAGACACTGGCGGCCTGGCGTGGTGGCTCATACCTGTAATCCCAACACTTTGGGAGGCCAAGGAGGATAGATCACTTGAACTCAGGAGTTCAAGACCGGCCTGGCCAACACAGTGAAATCCCATCTCTACTAAAAATACAAAAAAAAAAAAAAACGGCCAGGCGTGGTGGTGTGCACCTGTAATCCCAGCTACTCAGGAGGCTGAAGCAGGAAAATCACTTGAACCCAGGAGGCGGAGGTTGCCGTGAGTTGACTGAGCTACTGGACTCCAGCCTGGGCAATGGACAAAGGAGTGTCTCAAAAAAAAAAAAAAAAAAAAAAAAAAGAATGTAATCCCAGCACTTTGGGAGGCCGAGGCAGGTGGATCACGAGGTCAAGAGATCAAGACCATCCTGGTCAACATGGTGAAACCCCGTCTCTACTAAAAATACAAAACTTAGCTGGGCATAGTGGTGCGTGCCTGTAGTCCCAGCTACTGGGGAGGCTGAGGCAGGAGAATTGCCTGAACCCAGGAGGCGGAGGTTGCGGTGAGCCGAGATCGTGCCACTGCACTCCAGCCTGGGTAATGAGAGCGAAACTCCGTCTCAAAAAAAAAAGAAAAGAAAGAAAGATGTTTGGGTTCCACAGCTGAGAAGGTCTTAATTAACTGAGCTCTATGCCGTACGCTGTGCTGTCTAACACAACCCATCTGCAGTTACTTACTTGAGAGAGGGTAAGAGTTTGCATGCGTCCTTGTTTTATTTCACCTCGGTAGTCTATGGGGTGGCTTATTAAACTCCATTCATAGTTGTAGGTTGTTTCTGAGAGCAAAAAATAAATATGAGTAGTTATGAATTCTGAGAGGTCACTGGGCAACGTGGGCAGAGGGCCAATGTTGGCCTTAAAACCACCAGCACAGATTTCCTTAGATATACTAAACTCTGCTTTCTTCTAACTTATATATTTTTTGTTTATTTGTTTATATCCCCTCAGTTTTGCTATCATCTTAGGAACTTGATTTTCAACTCTCAGCCAGGTAAAGAATAACATGTATCTACTTAATATAAAATTTCTTTTTTTGTTACAAAAGCATACAACTTACAGGAATTTTTTTAATGTATAAAGTTAAAAATAAAGCTCCCTAACTTGACCATTAGTATTTGATGACTTTTTTCCTAGGGTTCTACATCTGATGACCCAATCAGTTTTAACATAGTATAACGCACTGTGCTTTTCTCTTTTTAACAAAAGGCAAGGAGACTTCAGTTCATTTGATCTGTTGTAGGGGTTTATTATTTAAGGACATGAAAACAGAGTATAAACATGTCTCTGTGAAGACAAAATTGTCTCCCACCTTAAGATGTTAGTAAAGTATAAGGTACCTCATCTCAAAGGATTCACATGCAAATGCCAAATATTGTCATCTCTGTTTATAAAAATTTGACCCATATGTTATGGAGAAAAAAATGAATCAAGGAACTAACCCAAATGAGAAATAGTCAAACACCTTAAGAATGAGTCTACCTTAAAAACAATGCATTTGGCAGGCCACAGGTCCCAGGTCAAATGTTCACTGAATGGTAGAGGACTGGACAAGTAGAAGAAAGAGCACTGTGAATAAATCTTTCTGAGCAACTAGTGTGAGGTATCCTGAGAACCTCAGAGCCACGACTGTCAACACCACGGCATCTGCGAACAGACCTATGGGTGCGCACCACTTCCCTCCCATTCCAGTGGAATCTTCCCAGGTTCTACAGGTTATTATCACAGGTCAAGAACTGGTACGTGGCAGCCTGTCCTGCTCTGCTTTCCACCATCAGAAATGTATGACTTTCCATCCTGGCCAATTAGACGGTATCTACTGTATTTAATGTCCTAGGCTCTTACTCCACTTTAAACTGTTTCAACAAACGTTGATGCTTAGGGTAATCAATGCCTTGTCTTCCACCTTCGTTTGCCACGTTGTGCGACGTTGTGAAACAGAATCGCGTTGTAAACAGCGTGTCAGTTCCCAGTGGTGAGGGAGGAAGGTTAAACTCTCACCTGCAGGTGGCGCTGGCGCGACAAAGGCCTTCAGTTCAACTTGATTGTCGGGAAAAGTTATTATTAAGTTATCTCCAGCCGATACCGTAAGTTCTTTCACTAAAAGTTAATTAGAAATGATACATGCAATTATATAACATAATGATGTTGCATTACTGTTCTACAATAGATCTGTTTTTAGTATCCATAACATAAAATGGCATATGCTTTTGTAATAGTTCTTCATAAGATTTTAGCTAAGGCACGTTTTTCCTGTCTAGAAACTGAACTGTGCCCTATATTATAGCGCAGGGCTTTAAACCACATATACGAGTTGGCACTGTGACAAAAATGATGATTCAAATTGACTGAGCAATGTGTTGGGTGACAAGAGTCACGTGAAACAGGTCTCACACAATAGTGCATTGGGTCCATTTTCTCCCTTGCTCCCAGCTTTTCTTGACTCCCTGGTCTTAGCTATTTTTAGTTAGAAAAAGACTGACTGTGATTCCTAAGTGTTTCTGTCTCCTTAGTCCTACTGCACTCGGTTCTCAGGAGTCACTGCTGATGGCCTTGTACTTGGAACCTTTCCAAAACAAAATCCAGTCGCCCTCAATATAAAGAGGCTGTTTTAACTTGAGCAGCAGGAACATGAACTCATCCAAAGTGCTTATCCGCCAAGTGAGCATTCGGAACAATACTTGCTTACTTTCTCTATAACCAGGACTACACTGATCTAGTCATCAATTCTGTCGGTTTGAGTCCACTAGACATTAGTGTCACTTGTAAAATATATTGCGGCATGTCCAGATACTACATAGAGAACAATCAAAGACTTTTTTAAAAAAAAAAAAAGGCTGAGTGCTCTGCAGAGGGACCCCTGCTAGGAGTGGACGGGCTGCTGGTTTAATCATTTAATCTCCTCCTCTCCTCAGGCCGCAGTCCCTCATGTCCTCCTAGATCAGCTGCAGAGGCTCTCAGTGGCTTTGCTGGCTCCTCTCTTGCCACTTTCACTAAGTCTTTGCCCTGAAAGTCAGGAACTATAGACCTAGAAGGAACATTGACCCAAACCTATCATGTCACAGATGGGGAGATTAAATCCTAGAAGGGCAAAGTTGTCCAAGGCTATGGATAATTAGCAATAGGTCCACCAATATTTAATCAATTTAAAGGTACTTATTTCAACAAACACTTATATACCAGATTAAACTGTGCCAGGCATTGTCCCAAGGGCTTTAAAATAATCAATTCATTTAATCCTCATCACAACTAAATGCAATAGGTTCTATTAAAACGCACAGATCCTGGGCCAAACTCCCAGGCCAGTTTCTTCTTCCATAGACTACACAGCTTCTCTTCCACAATTATCTTTCTGTCAGCTGAAGCTCAGGATTAAAGTAAATACAGAAGTTAGAGAGAGTAATCTCCAAAATACATTGCCCACAGAAAAGCTCAGGAAACCAACCCTTAGGTCTTACATATTCTAATAACTTCTTTATTGGACAATCTAATGAAAGCTTTGCAATCCTCGCCATGGCCTTTGCAACACCTGAAGTTTTGACACATCTTTTCTGGAACTGCAGGAGACCAGAACATGCTAAGCCAAAACATGACTTGTGAAAAGAAAAGAAACTTCGGGACCCCCAAATCACAAAGCCAAAGGGAAGAGTCAAGCTGGGAGGAGTGTCAGGCAAACCTGCCTCTCATTTTATTCCTAAGTAAGATAACTACAAACATAAAAAGGCTACATACTCCCTCACAACTTGTGGGCCTCAAGATCTTTACCCTAGAACAGTTTTGGTGCATTTCACCTTGGCCATGTAAATCGATAGCTTATCTTCACGGGTGCAGGACAAGGGACAGGGCTCCGTCGTCCCTCTGCTCACCTGAGACAAATGCATATACATATCTAATTGCTTTCTCTGCCCTACTGTTTATGTAAAAATGCAGATTCATTGAGTCAGACAAGGCATAAGTGACTATTCCTCACCACCCTCTCACAAGCACATTGTGTGTTCAGTGAGAGGCTGATCAAAGATTCAAAAGAATGCAACCTTTGTCTCTTACCTACCTGCGACCTAAAACACCCCCTTCTGGTTGCCCTGCCTTTCTGGACTGCAGTGTGCATCTCACACATACTGATTGATGTCATGTCTCCCTAAAATTTATAAAACCAAGGTGGGCAGGCACAGTGGCTCGCACCTGTAATCCCAGCACTTTGGGAGGCTGAGGCAGGCGGATCACCTGAGGGCAGAAGTTCAAGATGAGGCTGACCAACACAGAGAAACCTTGTCTCTACTAAAAATACAAAAATGAGCCAGGCGTGGTGGTGGGTGCCTGTAATCCCAGCTACTCAGGAGGCTGAGGCAGGATAATTGCTTGAACCTCGGAGGCAGAGGTTGCAGTGAGCCGAGGTCACGCCACTGCACTCCAGCCTGGGTGACAGAGCAAGATTCTGTCTCAAAACAAACAAGCAAGCTGCACCCTGACCACCTTGGGTACATGGCATCGGGACCTCCTGAGGCTGTGTCCCTGGTACGTTCTTATGCTTGCCATAATAAACTTTCTAAATTAATGAGACCTATCTCAGATACTTTTGGTTCAGACTGCAGGAGACTAGACTATGCTATTGAAAGTATAACTCTTTGATATATGAATTATTTTGAGCTGATTTTCTTTTTTGAAAAACAGCAAAGAGGAGCTCTGAAAACAGAAGTTACTCCTTTGTAAGGGGAACTGGTATCCACAAAGGAAATCCCCATGAGTTTTGTTTTGTTTTGAGACAGAGTCTCTCTCCGTTGCCCAGGCTGGAGTGCAGTGGTGTGATCTCAGCTCACTGCAATCTCCGCCTCCTGGGTTCAAGCAATTCTCCTGCCTCAGCCTCCCAAGTAGCTGGGATTACAGGTGTATGCCACCACGCCTGGCTAATTTTTTTTGTTTGTTGTTGTTTTTTTTTTTTTTTTTTTTTGAGATGGAGTCTCACTGTCACCCAGGCTTGAGTACAGCGGTGCAATCTTGGCTCATTGTAAGATTAGCTCATTGTAACTTCCCCCTCCCAGGTTCAAGCGATTCTCCTGCCTCAGCCTCCCGAGTAGCAGGGACTACAGGTGCGCACCACCACACCCCACTAATTTTTGCATTTTTAGTAGAGATGGGGTTTCACCATGTTGGACAGGATGGTCTCAATCTCTTGACCTTGTGATCCGCCTACCTCAGCCTCCCAAAGTGCTGGGATTACAGGCGTGAGCCACATTTGTACAAGTCCCCATTTGTAACAGTGTCCGTTTCTACACCAGGAGGAGGAGGGTGACTAAATTCCAGGGGATCCGCATCGGTGGGAAAGGTCCTGACAAACCTGTAGCGTAGGCCCCACTCTTGCTTACTTGCTCTTCTGGGCACCTCTGGCCACTTGGCTTCCCCACAACCTTCTTTTCTTGTTTTAGTTCAAGATGCGGTATAAGCCAGAGTTCCAGGCCACCGCTTTGAGATTTCCTCGTTTCCCTGGGTATCTCTCATGTATAGGTAAGATGCACATGTTATAAACTTGTTTTTGTTCTCTTGTTAATCTATCTTTTGTTAAAGGGGCACCAGTCTAGAACTTAGAAGGGTAGATGGAAAATGGTTTTACCCCTCTCCGTAGAACTCTCTCCCTCCTTTCTTCCTAGATTCTAGCTTTCCTCTTGATCTCCCACCTCCCTGGCACAACTACCCAATCAGTGTTACAGGCTCCTTCTGCACTGTCAGCTCCTTATATAATGATGTCCCTCAGGTCCCAGTGCTCAGGCCTCTCCTTAGCTCACTCCCGCTGTCTCCCCAGATGATCTTCTATGTCCCCCATGCCTTCAACTGTCACCTCCACACTGAAGACTCGTAATCTTTTATCTTCAGCCCAGCTGCTCGTCTAATTTTCGTTCTGTATTTTCATATATCTTAGCATCCTCTTCCTTCGTCCTTACGTTCATTCAGTCACTCATCAAACCCTCGTGATTCTGCTCCCTCGCAATCTCCTGGATCTAGTTTCTTCCCTCCATTCCTGCAGCCATCCACCACAGCCTTTCCATGGATCTTGTTGCCTCTAGTCAACTTAGTCAGCTCCACACTATTTTCTTTTTCTTCTGTTTTCATTTTTCACCTCATTTGACACAGAGTTTCAAACTCTTTCTCTGTCGCCCAGGCTGGAGTGCAGTGGCGCTGTCTCGGCTCATTGCAACCACTGCCTCCAAGTTCAAGCAATTCTCCTGCCTCAACTTCCCAAGTAGGTGGGATTACAGGTGTGTACCACCATGCCCAGTTCTTTTTATTTAGTTAGTTATTTTTTTGTAGAGATGGGGTTTCACCATGTTGGCCAGGCTGGTCTCGAACTCCTGACCTCATGATCCACCTGCCTGGGCCTCCCAAAAGGCTGGGATTACAGGCGTGAGCCACCACGCCTGGCCAACACTATTTTCTTAATACAAATCTGATCATTTTGCTTTCCTGCTTAAAACCATTCAGGGATTCTCTAAACCCATCCAGTAAAGTGCAGAATACATTTTATAGCATAAAATACACGATCTTTCCAGTTCCTGCCCTGCTTGCCACTCCAGTTCCAGCCACACTGAATCCCTTACACTTCTTCTAGAATGTCCCATGAGCTCCTGAACTTCTGTTTTTTTTGCATAGGCGATGAATGAGATGACGGATGAAGCAGCACTGAGCCTATCGCCTGGCGCTCCATAGGTGCTCGGTAAACATAGTGATCGCTATTCTCATGAAACACGTTGCTCCCTCGTCCTGAACAACAGAGCAATGCCCTTTTTGCTGGCTCACTCCACCTGAGCATCATCGCCTCTGGAAAGGCATCCCTGGGCCCTCCTAGTGGATCAAGGTGCCCCTCTGCCTCCACATGGCCTCTTACAGCACCCACCACAGTGTTTCAGGACCACCCCCTACCTGTCAGTCTCTTCTTCTGGACTATGGAGGCTCTGAGGGAAAAGACAATGTCTTATTTTGTCAGTAAGCAGCACCGTTTCCCGCTAAATGCTCAAAATGTGCCTGGAGGGAATGACTCAACTTTGAAAGCCGTCACTACCGAATTCTACAGCCTGTCTTCAGTACGTTTCTTCCAGTTTTATTTTTTAAAAGTTACCTGTCCTGGGAGCAGTGGTAGGAGATATGGGTCGTTCAGATGGGGTGGACCCAGAAAGGGCTGTGCTAGTGGGAGGTGTTGGGAAGCTGTGCTCCGTACTCCCCGCGGTGACTGTGAGCACTGGGCTTTTCTCCACGGTGGCTGGGCTGAGCTCCAGGCTTGCTGGAGGAGGACTATGGGAAGGCATTAGAACCTAAGAGATCAATTACAAAGATAAATAGTTACAAAACAACAACAACAACAGTTCAATTCTTCCAGCAACTCAGTGTTACCAACCTTTTTCATAAATCAGCTTCAGTCATGTTTGAAATGCCATGAATAATATTCCAAAACTCTCAAGTACACTCTTTGCCGTCTATTAGAAATATAAGGCAACTCTGGGTTGGACGATTAGTTCAGGTAAACACACAAACACTCAAAATAAAGAATGAGAGGGTACTTACAGAAGCCCCTAAACTAATCAGTTCACCGGACGAATGTTTCTGCCCCACACCTCCCCCCACACCCCACAGATTCATTTCTTGAAATCTGAACCCTCCATGTTGTAGTATTTGGAGGTGAGGCCTTTGAGAAGCAATGAGATTATGAGGGTAAATCCTTCATAAATGGGACTAGTGCCCGTCTAAGAAGAGGAGAGACAGCTAGCTAGTTCTCTTTCCACCATGTCAGGACACAGCAAAAAGATGACTATCCACAAACCAAGAAACCCTCACAAGAACCCAACGCTGCTGGCGTCCTGATCTCAGACCTCCAAACGTTAGGACTGTGAGTTACACACAGTTAGGCCACCGAGGTCATGGTTGATATGGCTAGGTTTTGTGCCCTCACCCAAATCTCATCTTGAATTATAATCCCCATGTGTCAAGGAAGAGACCAGATGGAGGAAACTGGAACATGGAGATGGTTTCCTCCATGCTGTTCTTGCGATAGTGAGTTCTCACGAGATCTGGTGGTTTTATAAGCATCTGCAATGTCCCTGCTTGCTCTCTCTCACCTGCTGCCATGACTGCAAGTTCCCTGAGTCCTCCCAAGCCATCCAGAACTGTGCGTCAATTACAACCCTTTCCTTTGTAAATCACCTAGTCTTGGGTGTGTCTTCATAGCAGTGTGAGAATGGACTAATTCAATGTATTTCACTGCAGCAGCACAAGCTAAGACAACCCCTAAAGCCACAAGTGAAGACAATCAAATAGTTCAACAGTCAACAGGCTGCTAGAGTAAATCATCTTTATTCATTTTATCCATTACGTATAACCAACAACTTACAGGTACAGAGTTAGTCAAGTTAAAGTTTTTTAATTAAATAGTGTGTGCCAGGGGGAAAATTCGCATCATGTGATAATAAAATACCTTGTGAGACTTAGAGTCAGTAACTGTGTGGAGCCAGGTAAGTAAAATTCCTAGATAAGAGTACAGAAGACCCACCGAGGTCATGCACGTGAGAAACCCACAGAAAGCAAAGCTGTAATCCAAATGGAAATCAGAGAGGGGGCATCGGTGCTAACTGAACGACACTCCTCTTGTCTACAGTTGAGAAGAGGGAGGAAGGATACAGCATAAATTTTGTGCTTGGAGGTGTGATCCCTGGTGTCGCCACTAATGGTAACTGAGCTCCCACTGGGTTCCAGATATTTACTGGGCAACTGGTGAAACCTTCTGCGACTGAAGCTCCAGAACCAAGGCGGAAAAAAAAGATGAAATAATGAAATTAAGCTGTCTGATCAAACTACGAGAAACCAGCTGACCTGCATGTTAAAGTCAGGTAGTGGGTCCACGATGCCATTTTAAGATGTTTGATGTAACTGAGTTTTCAGGCATCTGGCTTTGTGAAGTGAGTGCTATGGATTAAGCTGTGACGCTCTAAGAATAGTATGAAATTTGGAGTTACTACAAACCAGGGCCGCAGAATAATGTATGCACAGCATTTTAGACTGGGCACTCTGCAAATCCCAGGGGATAAACCAAGGGGTTTTTTTGGTTTGTTTTTTTGTTTTTAGTTTTATGAAGTCCTGAAAAATTACTGCCAAGCTGAACTAAGGAATGAAGGCAGACAGTGATCAGAGAAATTAAGGTACCTTGGGTCGAGGCCACTAAGCCAGAAATGGCCGAGGGGGAAGAAAACCCTTGTCCTGCTCTTCTCTACGACATTCACTTCTCCAGCATGCTGTGTCTGCAGGCAGGAATCAGATGCCAGTTCTTCCCTTCACTATTCGGTAATCTGCCCACAACCCCCACCACAGAACTCCTCAGTAAGTCATCAGGACACAAGGTCCTCGCTGACACACCCCTCCAAAGGAAAATGGATCCTCTATGGAAGCCACTGAGCTCAGCATCGCCCACTTCAGCCTTCAAGTTCGGCTGGGCCTCATCAGTAAAAGTCCCAAATGGCTCTTGTTTCTATGTTCTCTACTCATTTACTTTAAAACAGCTTGTTTTAGGTGATTTCTCTAGTCTTGTCCACTGGAAAACACAGTTGCAAAAAATGTCCTTTATCCTCTACAAGTTTGATCTTGATTTATTTTTCGTAGATGTCCTATTCAATGGCACTATTTCCTGCACAGTGCTGTTATAAATACTCATGTGCAAGTTTCTATGTAGACACCGTTTGTCTCTCTTGGGTAAATACCCAGAAGTGAAATTGCTGAGTCATGTGATCACCGCATTCAACGTTTTGAAAAATTGCAAGACTGTGTTCCACAGCAGCTACCCTAGGGCCAGGCACAGTGGCTCAAACCTATCATCCCAGCATTTTAGGAGGCCAAGGAAGGAGGACTGTTTAAGCCCATGAGTTTGTCAGCAGGCTGGGCAACAGAGTGGGACTCTATCTCTACAAAAATAAAAATAAAAAATTAGCTAGGCTTTGTGGTGCACACGACATAGTCCCAGCTACTCAGGAGACTGAGGCAAGAGAATCACTTGGGCCCAGGGGTTCAAGGCTGCAGGAAGCCACGCGGCACCGCAGCGTTTCAAGCTGGGTGCAGAACAAGACCCTCTCTCTCAAAAAACAAAAACAAACCGAGGTGGCTGAGACATCTCACGTTCCCACTAGCCGTGTACGAGAGTTCCAGTTTCTCTACATCCTTATTACCACTTACGATCTGTTTTTCGTTTTTCTCTAGGTATCTAGTAGATGTGAGATAGCTCACCGTGGTTTTGATTTGCATTTCCCTAAAGATGAGTGGTGCTCAGCATCTTTTCATGAGCTTCTTGGCCATTCTTCTATGATCTTTGGAGAAATTCTATTCAGATCCTTTGCCAATGTTTGAATTAGGCTGTTTGTCTTTTTATTATTAAGTTGTAGGAGTTATTTATATATCCAGCATATACAATATTTATGGTATAGTTATCCCGTTTTGTGGTATATTTATCCCATGAAGAAAGCTTCCCTTTCTTGATGTTGTCATCTGAAACACAAAAGCTGCTACTTTTGATCAATTCAAATGTACCACTTTTCTATTTTAATCCTATGCTTTTGATGTACTGAGAAATAACTGCCTAGCCCAAGTTTACAGAGATTTATGCTGAGTTTTCTTCCATGTCTTTTATAGTTTTAACTTATATTGAAATCATTGGTCCATTTTGAGTTAATTTTTAAAAAATAAGGCAAGAAGTAGGGGTCTAAATTTATTCTTTTGCATGTAAGTACCCAGCTGCCGAAACACCATTTCTTGAAAAGACTATTCTTTCCCCATTAAATTTTCTAGGTACCTTTACCAAATACAATTGAACTATTTTACATATATTTCTTTTTTGGTGAGAGAAGAGATCTTAGTTTATGTCACGAATTGACAAACTTGGCACTGTGTCACAAGGAAATAATGTTTCTTTTGTTTCTTTTTGTTTTAAGAGAGGGGGTCTCACTATCTTGCCCAGGCTGGTCTCTAACTCTTAGGCCCAAGCAATTCTCCTACCTCTGCCTCCTAAGTACTTGGGATCACAGCTGTACATCAGTGTATTGGGCTTGAATATATGGAATATATGGTTTCTTATTACACTATGCATCTAATTTTTATGAACACTTATTCAGAGATTGTCTACACATCTCTTGTACTTCGGAGGAAATTCTGTATTTCAGTGGAACATAACATATCATCAGCAGGGCAAGGTGGCTCACATATGTAGCCCTACCACTTTGGGAGGCCAAGGCAGGCAGATCACTTGAGCTCAGGAATCTGAGACCAACCTGGACAACATGGCGAAATCCCGTCTCTAACAAAAACATAAAGTATCAGCCTGGTATGGTGGTATGCGCTTGTAGTCCCAGCTACCTTGGTGGGCTGAGGTGGGAGGACTGCTTGAGCCCAGGAGGTCGAGGCTGCAGTGAGCTGAGATCGCACCGCTGCACTCCAGCCTGGGTGACAAAGTGAGACCCTGTCTCAAAAAATAAATAAAGTAAAAATAAATTAAAAACATTATCTACTGGACAAACCTCCAGGTTGTCTGACTTTCGTGGTTCTTGTATTTGAGCTATTTTTACAACTCTGTAGGTTGCAGGTCACTGATAACAATGTAATATATTTCTTGTCTCCAGACACATAAATTCTCCCCTGCCTGCTAGAGGTTCAACTGAACTCCCTCCTTTCCTCACTGGAAACCCAGTTTTGCCTCTATTTGCACATTCATTTCAATATATTTTTAAATCCATGAATGTGTCTGTTCTTCAGGTTTTCTGGTAGGATCATTATAATCTCATAGTTCCCTCAGTGATTAATGCATAGAATCAAATCTCTAACACATGTTCATTTTATATCTAAACAATTCACAATTCTACCTATTTCGATAATTATCTTTTAACAAAACCAATCTCAAAGAACTAATGAGCCAAAGGATTTTTAATAGAGCTTGATTTCAGAGAGTTCCATCTGTATAAACCAGGAAGTAGGTGACTTGGCAGCATGAAAGAGGGTAAATTTTATTAATATTTACTGATATGAGTAGATATGGTTAATCTTTAATACTTTCAGATTATTTTTAATGGAAAGTTTTTTCATTTTAATCCAGTTACAAGTACAGGAAAATATAGACACTTTGAAGTTCAAGAAATATAAGCAGAAAAAAATCTTCTGATTAAATCTTGGCTGGGCGCCATGGCTCATGCCCGTAATCACAGCACTACGGGAGGCTGAGGTTGGTGGATCCCTTGAGGTCAGGAGTTCCAGGCCAGCCTGGCCAACATGGCAAAATCCCGTCTCTACTAAAAAATAAAAGACTTAGCCGGGCATGGTGGTGCATGCCTATAGTCACAGCTACTTGGGAGGCTGACGCAGGAGAATAGGTTGAACCAGGGAGGCAGAGGTGGCTGTGAGCGAAGATCGTGCCACTGCACTCCAGCCTGGGCGACAGAGCAAGACTGTCTCAAAAAGAAAAGAAAAGAAGAGAAGAGAAAAGGAAAGAAAAGAAAACCCACACATAAAAATGACTTCTAGACCCTTTTTAGTGATTTTTCATGGTTGAGATTGTGATGTATAGTCAATTCAATCCAGCATTCCTCACTTATTCTAACATAAGCACTGGAGTTTTAAAAACGAAAACTTTTCCTTTAAAAAATTCTTAAAGGACTCCCAGGTTCCTTTTTGACTCCATTTCCACATAGGCCTCAGCTTCCTCTTATCAACATGCTGACCACATTCTCAAGTCCTGACCAGGGTCCAAACAAGCAGCCTCTGAGCGCTCTGGCTGCCCTCTGCTTGCCACCACACATGTCCTTCTCCGTCTCCCCACACACGTGTCCTTCTCCGTCTCCCCACACACGTGTCCTTCTCCGTCTCCCCACACACGTGTCCTTCTCCGTCTCCCCAGACACGTGTCCTTCTCCGTCTCCCCAGACACGTGTCCTTCTCCGTCTCCCCACACACGTGTCCTTCTCCGTCTCCCCACACACGTGTCCTTCTCCGTCTCCCCACACACGTGTCCTTCTCCGTCTCCCCAGACACGTGTCCTTCTCCGTCTCCCCACACACGTGTCCTTCTCCGTCTCCCACACACGTGTCCTTCTCCGTCTCCCCACACACGTGTCCTTCTCCGTCTCCCACACACGTGTCCTTCTCCGTCTCCCTGGCCCCCTGCCCTAACACTTGGGCTTTCCACCTGCTTTTGAAATCCTTCCACTCCAGTGACTCTCATTCTTTTTTAAGCTGAGCTTTTTCATGGAACTTTTTATGGCGCTTAAGTTCTCTCCTTCGTATCTCTCGTCCTATCCAACTGTTCATGATACTTGTGTTCCCCACAGCCAGAGCACCTGGTCGGTCTGGAAGAAACCTACTAGCGTGATTTTCAAAGCCCCTGGGTGGGTGTGCGTGCTGGCTCCAGGGACGGAGATACCATCTCCCTCAAATACTGGTAGAGGCATCTCTAGGGAGAAGTGCTAAGTCATTACGAGCAGGCTGACTCCTGAAGGCAGAACTGTTTGTTCTTTCTAACAGCCTGGCCATTGAGGCATAGCAAAGGAACAGGATGTTCTGCCTCCTAGAAATCTCGGAGAGACAGTCATCTTGCTTGCCACGCCTGAGACAGGGGCCGTTAGGAGGACCCCCCTTAGGCTCTACAGCTCCGGAAACCCAGCCCCTCCTGCGGTCTGCCGCCCTCGGCCCTTCCCACCCGCAAGCACATCCTGAACACACCCACCTCTTTTCCAGAGCTGCTGCTGGATTGCCCCTGGAGCTGAGAAGCCTTTTCTTTCTCCAGCACCTCTCCTGAAGACGGAGTGGTCGCCAAGGGAAGCAGCACACTTCTCTCAGGGAGTTTTGGGGCATGGGTTGAAGCAGACTCATTCAGGTGATGGAGCTGAGGTTCCTGCTGCTTCTCCGCTGGCGCCGCGGGGCTATCTCCAGCAGAGGAGTTGAAGCCCCCATCGCTGCCCGGCAGCAGGCCCCAGTCCGGGTACTCAGCACCCGCCCTGGGCTCCTGCTTGCCACTGGGTTGCAAGAGGTCCTTCTCCAGCTCGCGGTAGTCAGCTGAGTACTCAGACATCTCCTCTATGCCCCGATCTTTGCCTAGAAAGGGCAAGTCCCTTCTGATATCCTCCGGTGAGTCCCCCCAGGTCCCCGAGGGGGAGCCCCTGTTCAGCATCATGTCCCCATAGTCCAGCAGCTTTGCAGGCCTCTGAACAGGCCTGAGCACAAACGTGAGATAAGACCTGATCAGGCCCATCTTCTTGGGCTCACAGTTCTCCTTGTGGGGGCAGCTCACCAGGTAGCAGCGGCCCTCCAACCACCAGGCCAGGTCACAGCTGGGCAGGTCACAGCACGCGGCCGTGCAGTCTACCACAGGGAAGGTGTGAGACACCCGCATGATCCTGGCGGCTTCCAGGTTCGGTGAAATGACTGCATTGGAGTACGTCCTCCCCTCACTGCACTGCTTACATGCACAACCTGAAAATAAAGCAGTTTCTAATGAGGGAGAGAGGCATAGCACAGGGAGGCACCTCCTGCTTAAGAAACCAGGAAAAGGGAGTCTTGTTAATCCCTGGCCAGTCTGGCAAGCAAATAAACAATCAGCATTTCCCACAGAAAGATCACCGCATGCTCTTACAGTCAATCCATCAAACCCTCCATCTAAACATTCATCCTTCTACCTTCCCGTTCTCATTCATCCTCTATCCACTTAATCCTTCCATTCATTCTCCCATCTATCTTTCCTCCTATCCTCCCACCTTCCTACCCATCCATCTATCTGTCCTTTCACCCACATACCCATCCACGCACCTTTCCACCCACCCATCCATCCGTCTTTCTAATCATCTACCTTTCCACTCATCCACTCCTCCCTCCATCCCTCCACGTATCCACCCATCATCCACCCACCCATCCATCCGTCTTTCTGATCGTCTGCCCTTCCACTCATCCATCCATCCATCCCTCCATGCATCCACCCACTCATCCATCCATGTATCCCTCCATCCCTCCACACATCCACCCACTCATCCATCCATCTTTCCAATCTTCCTTTCCACTCATCCATCCATCCCTCCATCCCTCCACACATCCACCCACCCATCCATCCATCCCTCCATCCCTCCATGCATCCACCCACTCATCCATCCGTCTTTCCAATCTTCTACCTTTCCACTCATCCCTCCATCCCTCCATGCATCCACCCACTCATCCACTCATCCATCCGTTCCTCCACACACCCACTCACTCATCCATCCATCTTTCCAATCTTCTACCTTTCCACTTATCCATCCATTCCTCCATCCCTCCACGCACCCACCCACTCATCCATCCATCTTTCCAATCTTCTACCTTTCCACTCATCCATCCATCCCTCCATGCATCCACCCACTCATCCACCCACCCATCCATCCATCTTTCTAATCATCTACCCTTCCAGTCATCCATCCATCCATCCCTCCATGCATCCACCCACTCATCGATCCATCCGTCTATCCCTCCATCCCTCCACGCATCCACCCACTCATCCATCCATCTTTCCAATCTTCTACCTTTCCACTCATCCATCCATCCCTCCATCCCTCCACAGATCCACCTACCCATCCATCCATCCCTCCATCCCTCCATGCATCCACCCACTCATCCATCCATCTTTCCAATCTTCTACCTTTCCACTCATCCATCCATCCCTCCATCCCTCCATGCATCCGCCCACTCATCCATCCATCCACTCATCCCTCCATCCCTCCATGCATCCACCCACTCATCCACGCATCCATCCATCCATCCCTCCATCCCTCCACGCATCCACCCACTCATCCATCCAGAGATTCCTGCACCTTTCCATGCACCCTTCCATCCATTTGTTCTCTCTTCATATAGTTTCACTCCACTTACTTATATTATTTATAATACTTTGCTCCTCACATAAAATTCAATTACTCAGGTTTACTTTACAAAATAGCATCATGTCTTTGTTGCACTGTTGTTGTTAATTGATTTTTTTTCAAGTCTCACAGGCTATTTTTAATTGGATAGATGGATAAATTGACAGGAAAGCAAACTGTCACAGGGAGGCAAGGAGACCTCTGTCTGGCAGACGCCTTCAACTCAAAGCTTAGGGCAGTGTTGAGTGCAGCTGGAGGTGGCAGGTCCCTTGGCACACCTCTGGCGTGCACCAGTCCTTTGCTCTGCAAAACATCCCCTGAGTGGGGGCTGTGTCAATATACATACCTCAAAAGCAAAGATCTTAAGGCTAAAGTTGTTTGAGAAGGTGGGGCTCCCAACAACGAAATCATTCTTTATTTGGTCCAAGTTGCCATAATTACTTCAGAATCTATTAGACACACTCAAGGAAGCTCTTCAAGGACTATCAAACTAGAGGCCAGGAGACCTGTCGCCCATGTTTGTGTGCTCTGTAAATCCTAGCCCGATCTGTGGGCACAGTACTCCTTGATGATTGTTGACAAGTTAATAAAATCACTGTTTAGCATTTACGAAGGGAAAAAAGATAGAGAAGGCTGAGCGTGATGGCCCATACCTGTAATCCCAGCACTTTGGGAGGCCAATGTGGGAGGACTACTTAAGCCCAAGAGGTTGAGGCTGTAGTGAGCCATGACGGCACCACTGCACTCCAGCCCAGGTGACAGAGCAAGACCCTACCTCAAAAAAACAAAAAAAAGCACCTAGAAGCACCTGCACCTTCTTGAATCTCCACCTGGTTCAACCCTCCTGGTCCACCATGTCCATCAGGGTGACCCAGAAGTCCTACAAGGTGTCCACCTCTGGCCCCTGAGCCTATACAAGTGGGCCCAGTGCCTGCATCAGCTCCTTGACCTTCTCTAGAGTGGACAGGAGTAGCAGCTTCCAAGGTGGCCCGGGAACCAGTATGGGTCTGGGTGGAGGCTATGGTGGGGCCAGTGGTACGGAAGACATCACAGTCAACGAGAGCCTGCTGAGCCCCCTTAAGCTGGAGGTGGAAGCCAACATCCAGGCCATGTGCACCCAGAAGAAGGAGCGTTCAAGACCCTGAACAAGTTTGCCTTCTTTATCCAGAAGGTATGGTTCCTGGAACAGCAGAACAAGATGCTGGAGACCAGGTGGAGCCTCCTGCAGCAGGAGAAATGGCTCAGATGAACACGGACCGCATGTTTGGGAGCTACATCAGCCTTCGGCAGCAGTTGGACACGCTGGGCCAGGAAAAGCTGAAGCTGGAGGCTGAGTCTGGCAACATGCCAGGGCTGGTGGAGGACTTCAAGAACAAGTACAAGGACAAGATCAATAATTTTACAGAAGGCTGGGCACAGTGACTCACACCTGTAATCCCAGCACTTTGGGAGGCCAAGGCTGGTGGATCACCTGAGGGCAGGAGTTCGAGACCAGCTGGACCAACATGGTGAAACCCTGTCTCTATTAAAAATACAAAAACTGGCTGGGCATGGTGGCGGGTGCCTGTAATTCCAGCTTCCCAGGAGGCTGAAACAGGAGAAATGCTTGAATCCAGGAGGCAGAGGTTGCAGTGAGCCAAGATCATGCCATTGTACTCCAGCCTGGATGACCGAGTGAGACTCCATCTCCAAAAAAAAAAAAAAAAGAACCACAAATAATTTTAGAGATGGAGAATGAATTTGTCATCATCAAGAAGGATGTGGATGAAGCTTACATGAACAGGGTGAGCTGGAGTCTTTCCTAGAGGGGCTAAATGATGAGATCAACTTCCTCAGGCAGCTGCATGAAGGGGAGACCGGGAGCTGCAGTCCCAGGTGTCGGACACATTGGTGGTGCTGTCCATGGACAACAGCTGCTCCCCGGACATAGACAGCTACATTGCTGAGATCGAGGCCCAGTACAAGGAGATCATCAACCGCAGCCAGGGTGGGGCTGAGAGCCTGCACCAGATCAAGTATGAGGAGGTGCAGGCGCTGGCTGGGAAGCACAAGGATGACCTGCATCGTGCAAAGACAGAGATCCCTGAGATGAACCAGAAGAGCAGCTGGCTCCAGGCTGAGACTGAGGGCCTCAAAGTCCAGAGGGCTTCCCTAGAAGGCACCACTGCAGATGCGGAGCAGCATAGGGAACTGGCCATTAAGGATGCCAGTGCCAAGCTGTCCCAGCTAGAGGTTGCCCCACAGCAGCCATGCAGGACATGGCACAGCAGCTGTGTGAGTACCAGGATCTGATGATCAAGCCAACCTGGACATCGAGATGGTCACCTGCAGGAAGCTGCTGGAGGACGAGGGGAGCTGGCTAGAGTCTGTGATACAGAACATGAGTTTCTGTATGAAGACCAGTAGTGGCTACTCAGATGAACTAAGCTGGGCCTATGGGGGCCTCACAAGCCCTGGCCTCAGCTACAGCCTGGGCTCCAGCTTTGGCTCTGATGGGTGCTCCAGCTCCTTCAGCTGCACCAGCTCCTTCAGGACCATGGTTGTGAAGAAGATCGAGAGCCATGATAGAAAGCTAGTGTCTGAGTCCTCTGATGTCCTGCCCAAGTGAATGGCCACAGCAGCCCCCCCAGCCTACCCCCTCCTGTGGCTGCCACAGAGCCTGTGGGGGAGGCTGCTGTGCAGGGGGAGCATAGGGGACAGGAGACCCACCTGAGGCTCAGCCCTTCCCTCAGCCCACCCACAGGGGAGCTCACTCCCCCCTTGCCTAGGCCTCTAGCTACAAAACAATTCAATTGGGTTTTTTTGTAAAATAAAGCCTCAGCTAGTTCTGCCAACTGCCCCCTACATAAAGATGGAAGATGAGCACATTGCGAATAATATTTGTTGGGATGCCATAACTCAGGAACTGATATTTTGAATTAACGGAGAACACCACACCTCATAAGAAAAAGGCAAAGGAATGAAAAAGTAGAGATTTGCGAGGAAAAAAATATGGGTCTCTAAACATTAATGACATCATCTAAAACATGAATGAAGGTATTTTCCGGAGCATATTAAACATGAAATAAGGGGACATTTTGTCTTACACGCTAAGCAGCGGTGAGTTTAGTAAGCTGGGTGGTGGAGGGAGTAAGTGATCTGCCAGTCACGGCAGGGCTTTTCCAGTGGCAGGACTGCCTGGAGTGGCCCTCACACCATGTAAGATGGTGCTGCCCAAAATTTGAGTGCTTCTAAATCATCTCCATGTGTTGCTGAAAACCCAGATCCCCGAGCCACACCCAGGAGTTCTAATCCAGTAGGTCTGGAGTGTGGCATGAAAAACCGCATTTTAACAAGGGTCTCTCGGCCAGGTGCGGTGGCTCACACCTGTAATCTCAGCATTCTGAGAGTCCAGGGTGGGTGGATCATGAGGTCAGAAGTTCAAGACCAGCCTGGCCAAGATGGTGAAACCCCATCTCTACTAAAAATACAAAAATGAGCCAGGCGGGGCGGCAGGCGCTGTAATCCCAACTACTCGGGAGGCTGAGGCAGGAGAATTGCTCAAACCTGATGGGGAAGAGGTTGCAGTGAGCCGAGATCGCGCCACTGCACTCCAGCCTGGGCGACAGAGTGAGACTCTGTCTCAAAAAATAAAAAATAAAATAAAATAAGGGTCTCTCTAAGGTCATCCTCACTACGGCTTTGTTTCACTTCGTCAAACTGTATGTAACAGTTTTCCTGGTCATATCACCACCCTTAATCCTGGGTACACTCAGATGGGCTGAGCTGGACCAGCCTAGCCAGGGATCACCATAAACGATGCTGACCGGTGATGTTTTGCCATGAGTGTTTCCACCATAAGGAGTGAGTATAGTAAAAATAAAGATTTCTGACAAAAGAAAGTCTGGCCTTTCCAGTCAGATCATGTATGTCATATACAAATATAAAGTTTTCCTAGTATATATGAAATGTATTTTTATTTTCCCATGAAACAGTCATGATAATAATACATTTACATTCCTGTTTACAGAAAACCACTCACGCATGAGGTCTGCCTTTCATGCTTTTACATGTAAAAGAATTCTATTGCAAAGCAAACCAACAGCACCGTCACCTCAGGTGGATCTGAGTTGCTTACATAGACAAGAAGCTCATGCCCAACACGGGTATCTCCAGGGTAGTGAGCAGTTCACCTGCAATTGTCAGCAGCAGCAGCAATGAGGAGAGCACACCTGTAGGGGCCGCCATTCTGCACCGCACGGTGGGGGATGCCGGCTTCTGAAGCAGCCCTGAAGAGCGTTTGCTGCACGCTTTCTTTGATGTTTTTCAGGAACCAGATTTGGCCTCAAGAACTTCAAAGGAAAGACAGAAAAGAGGAAGGAAGAAAATAGGTAAATGTGGAAACATCCAAAATTATTTCTATCATTCATTCATGTCGGTGGGAAGCCTGTCCTGGTCACATCACAGAGCCACATCCTAGGCATCCATCCACCCAGAGTTTGTTCAAATAGCCAGTACAGCTTCTAAGAAGAGCCAAGGAATTTTAGGCTCACTCTCCTTACAAGCTGTGGAAATAAACAAAGACCAACCAAATGAGAAACGCAAAGGCTATTCCTTCAGAGCTTGTTATAGCAAGGCAGTCAGCCCCCATCACTTGTGTTTGGCAGACACTCGAAGACAGGCAGAGGAGTGGGAAAGCTTTAGAGTGGAGAAAGGGAAAGCCCCAGGTGTGCTCTAATTGGAGGCTGTTGCTGGGGAGGCTGCAGGCAGCTCACTAGAAATGGGGCACCCTATGTGGTTGGTTAAGGAGGCATGTCTGGCTTTCTCTGACTGGCCCAAAGTTGGAAGAAGGGATTAAAATGAAGGTAGCCACTAGTTGTTAATCGAGTCCTGGTCATTGAGGGCTGATTGTTACAGAAGTTACTGTGTAGCTTCCATTGCGATATCAATTTGGCTTCCTGGAAGTCTGACTTAGAGCAGTTTGGCTTCCTAGGCTGCTTATTGCAGATAAGGGACTGGTGTCCTGGGCTGTGGATTGCTGGCCAAAATTCTATTTTATGTTTGATTGGCCATTGTCTGCTTTTATATACAGGCTCTCAAAGCTAAAACTATGGAATTATGATGGAATAAATCATACTACCATATTTCATAAATTCTTTTTCTTTTTTTTGAGACAGAGTCTTGCACTGTCATCCAGGCTGAAGTGCAGTGGCGCAATCTCAGCTCACTGCAACCTCTGCCTCCTGGGTTCAAGTGAGTCTTGTGTCTCAGCCTCTGAATAGGTGGCACTACAGGCATGTACTACCACACCCAGCTAATTTTTGTATTTTTAGTAGAGATGAGGTTTTGCCACGTTGGCCAGGCTGGTCTCAAACCTCTGGCCTCAAGTGATCTGCCTGTCTCGGCCTTGCAAAGATTACAGGCGTGAGCCATCATGCCCAGGCTCTATTTCATTAATTCTAACACATAAATATTTCTACATTTTAGCATTTCTGATATCAGGATGTCCTAGAGTTGCAGAAGGCCATGTGCCAGGCAGGAAGTGGGTGCCACTGCTTATGCATGCACATCAGCTGTGCAGAAGCGGGGTCAGAGGCTTGGAAGGACATCCTGAAGACAACACAAAGCACCCTCCTAAGAATGCCACCTCCCCCAAGCTCATGGTGGCACACAGGCAATATCTGTCCTAAGAAACGCTGCCTCCCCCAAGCTCACGGTGGCACAGAGGCCATATCTGTCCTAAGAAACGCCGCCTCCCCCAAGCTCATGGTGGCACACAGGCCATATCTGGAAAAGCCTCAGGCGTCAGTAAATGCACTGACAAGTTATTGGGCAGGAAGAAGATTTAGGAATACCTTAATATATGTCAATTATACGTTCCTTTTTACATATGCACAAGAATGATTCACAATAAAAATCTGTCTAAGCACCCCCTCCATCTCTTTCAATTTGTTTAAAACTCTAAGTGAGAAGAAAGGGATGTATTTTGGCTTAGCTGACAGCGTTTTTTTCCTTAGTGGTATTTAAAATACTCGTGCATCTTATTAAATACAATCATAAGCGTCTTACATTGAATTGAATTGAGTTAATACAAGCACTTCACTTTTGCCTGGTACTTTCTCAGTGTGATCTTCACAACAACTCAGACAGTATTATCATCTCTGCATTAGATGATAGAATTGAGGTTCAAAAAAAGTGAACTGGTTTGCTCGAGGCAGAAGAACCAGTACAAGGTAGTCCGGACGTGGAGCTGCACTCCAAGTGCTTATTATTTCAAATGTGTAACACAGGCTCCCAGGAGGAAGCACGCAAGTTCATGCTCAAAACACCTAGATAAGGTTTCCTAATGTGGTGTCAGAATCCTCCGGTGAGTTGCCAGTTGGTACGTTGTAGTAAACTAGATTTTAGTTCCAGTTCACACCATTCTCTCCCACCCACCCCACTTTATTCCTCCTCCCCCCACACAGAGGATGTGTGGATAAAACCTTATGGGAAGGTAAGACTCTTCCTTACCCCTGGTTCCAGAAGCCCTGTAGTACTCTTAGAAATTTATAAGTGTTGGCCAGGCGCAGTGGATCACCCCTGTAATCCTGGCACTCTGGGAGGCCAAAGTGGATCACCTGAGGTCAGGAGTTCGAGACCAAGCCTGGCCAACATGGTGAAATCCCGTCTCTACTAAAAATACAATAATTAGCTGGGCGTGGTGCCAGTCACCTGTAATCCCAGCTACTCGGGAGGCTGAGGCAGGAGAATGGCTTGAACCCAGGAGGCAGAGGTTGCAGTGAGCCAAGAGTACACCATTGCACTTCAGCCTGGGTGACAGAGTAAGACTCTCTCAAAAGAAAAAAAAAGGAATTTATAAGCATCGTAGGGATGAAAAAGAGAGAAGGAAACAGGCATCTCCAGTCAGTTATTTCAGAACTCTGGCAGCCTGGGGGAGGCAGAAAGTAGCCGGAAAGGACAAGGAGCCTGCAAACAAATCAAACCTTACGATGCTGTCTGGAAGTTCTAGACCTTGTTTTTGAGTTTAATCGAGAAACAACTGAAATCATGAGAGTGCCGGCTGTTGAGCTGCAGGTAGGGGCCTGCCAGTGACCGGAGCATGGGAGTGCCTAGCCTGACACCACCGCTGGCCATGTTCTGGGTAGGTGAAAAGGATCTTTAAGGTCCAGAGTTGGGCTGAGTTAGACCAAGGGACGGAGGAACCAGAGCGCAGGTGAGCTAAGGTCAGGTCAGGAGGTGGGTGTAATGACTCTGTGTCAGTACAGCGGATCTGAGGCTATCAGAACGCTGCTCTGATGAGGTAAAACGGAGGGAGCAAACCAAGCATTTCATAGGTTTCATGCCTAAAAGCTTAGAGGAAGAATACCTGGTTGTGCAAAGTTTGCCACCAATAACTTCCTTTGCTTCCAGTGAGGAAAATATGGTTCGAGATGGGAGCTGGAAGGGAAGACTGCTGATCTCCCACCTGCAGCCATTGACCACTTCCTAACCAAAGGACGAGAGAACAGCAACTGGTTTCCCAGAAATGACATTTATTCCCGAGGTGCTGGGGCCCAGAATAGCAACACTGCTATCAGCCAGGGATAACTGGTCAAGAACCCCATGGATAAAGATTGAGCATCCACGGTACCATATGGTACCTTCAGGCAAATTAAGGAAAGGCAGCTCTAAGAGAAGACACGGCTCTGAAGGCACACAGTTTGGCAAATGGACTGTGGTTGTGCAAGGTACAGCTTTCACAGCTATATTGTACCTGGAAAGCAATTCATTGTCATTATCTCAGTGCAAGCTTACAGCTGCTGAGCATAAGAAGCATTTCCCATTCTCAACAGAGGCACATTAATGCAAGGAAACAATGCGTCTCCATTCCCTCAACATTAAAAGGCATATGGACTAGATGTTATCAAAAAATCCTTCAGCTCTAATAGCTTATAAGTGTTGCTTTTTTTTTGTTTTTGTTTTGAGACAGTTTCGCTCTTGTCACCCAAGCTGGAGTGCAATGGCGCGATCTCAGCTCACAGCAACCTCCGCCTCCTGGGTTCAAGCAATTCTCCTGCCTCAGCCTCTCGAGTAGCTAGGATTACAGGCACCCGCCACCATGCCCAGCTAATTTTTGTATTTTTAGTAGAGATGGTGTTTTACCATGTTCGTCAGGCTGGTCTTGAACTCATGACCTCACATGATCCACCTGCCTTGGCCTCCCAAAGTGCTGGGATTACAGACATGAGCCACTGTGCCCGGCCAAGTGTTACTTTTTAAATACATAGTTAATTAGTACTTTATGGGTTAAATACTGCTTCACATATCTTATTTGATCTACGTGTAGCAACTGTTTCTGAATTAGGAGTTCTCAATTGTCATTTTACAGGAAAGGATGCTAAGTTTCACAGTCAGCCTTTAGAATGAAGACCTCAAGCTTTCCCTGTGGCACCCCCGCCCTCCTTGATGGTTCTGTGAAGTTCGTCCACTCCATTCTGGATTACTTAAGACCTTCCTTACTTATTATTCAGTCTACGAATGACCCAGTTCTCTTGATGAACTCGTGCTCTCTCCTGCTCCGTGCCTTTTGCCCACTGCACTGTAGTTTTCCGTCATTAAAAAGGTAGGATTTACATAGAAAGCCTGTCAAGTTCCTTAACAATTTTCATAAAAGGTAAAGCTGAACTGAGTGACAAAATAGAACTTTTAAAATAAGGCTTCACAAGTTCAAAATGTTATAAATAGTACAAGCCCATATATCCTTTCACAAACTCTGCATGGATCAATTTTATACATGTAAAAATCTGAAAGGAAATGTCCCCCCATGGTGAAAACTGGTGAGAATAATACATGCTTTTTTTCTTTTCCTTTCTGATCTGTATTTTCTATTTTTTCTAAACTGAACACATCTTATCTTTACATTAATAAAATATGCTTGTAGTTTTCATTTTTACAGAAAACAGATATTTTAACATGGTCATTCTGATACAGATTTTTAAACAAAATTACCGAGAGATGTTGGAATGGGTATTTCTGACTCCAGATCTTTCTGGCCAGATCTTTTCCCTCAGTCTCATCCCTTCTTAGGTTTCCTGTCATGCATGACTACCTGAGAAGCCTCACCCCACCTGAATTCCCTCCCTTCTTTGGGTGATGGTGATGACATCATTGATTCAGAGATGGGATAAGGCTCTGACTGGTGTCAGAGAATGAATGAGATGTGGGGATGGGGTGAGCCCAGAGATGGGGCTAGAGATGGGCAAAGCACAGAAACGTATTCCGCAAGGACTGATGGAGCACTTCCTGTGCCAGGACATGGACAAGGAAGGGATGAAGGTCAAGGATGCAGAGAAGGAGGCTCAAGGCTAAG